AAAAAAAAAGTTGGTGGCATCATGCTGCCTGACTTCAAACTATACTATAAGGCTACAGTAATCAAAACAGCATGGTACTAGTTCCAAGACAGACATATAGAACAATGGAACTGAACAGAGGCCTTAGAAGTAATGCCTCACATCTACAACCATCTGATCTTTGACAAACCTGACAAAAAAAGCAGTGGGGAAAGGATTCCCTATTTAATAAATGGTGTTGGGAAAACTGACTAACCATATGCAGAAAGCTGAAACTGGATCCCTTCCTTACACCTTATACAAAAATTAACTCCAGATGTATTAAAGACTTAAACATAAGACCTAACACCATAAAAACCCTAGAAGAAAACCTAGGCAATACCATTCAGGACATAGGCATGGGCAAAGACTTTATGACTAAAACACCAAAAGCACGGACAACAAAAGCCAAAATAGACAAATGGGATCTAGTTAAACTAAGGAGCTTATGCACAGTGAAAACGGACTTTTAAATGTGGTTCTCATGTCATGCCAGGGTAGGATAGGAGTTTGGGACACAAATACTTTCCTTCATTATTCAATACTCAAGACCATAAAAAATGTTGTAATAAAAGAGTGCGAAAGAGTGCAAGGCATAAATGTTTTCTGTATTTTGTCTAATGAACATGTGTTACTTTTATAATTATCAGACACTTCAAAAATATTATCAGACATGGATATATTTAGAATGTAGCTTGGTTTAAAAACATTTAGACATGCTAATTTGAAAACTATTCCCTTGCTTATATATGTTTTCCTCTGGTTCCTCAGAGAAGCAATTGCCAAAACAGAATTAAATGTGCAAAGTGCCTGTGGGAGAGAATGGTGAGGGATCTGAGTAGGGCTGGGAGAGCTGCCAGAACACAATGGTCGCCCACCCTGAGTGATGGGGAGAGGAAAGAGAGAAGAAAGGTTGAGTAGAAGCATTCCGGACTGCTGCAACGTCTCAGGAAGGTGTGTCAAGGCTACTTGGGCGTCTTGAGGGGTCAAGGGGGTCATCTGTCAAAGGGGTCCCTCTTCTCTCAGGGACAGCTCTAAGTATTCTGTTGTGTTCTGTCTCTGAGCGGGAGCGACCCATAGGTAGTGTGGTCTTGCTGCAAAGGTGGCAATAAACTTCAGGGTGCAGAGCTAGAATCCTTGTCAATATGGCCCCTACAATTGGAGGTTGCGATTTATATTCTTATGGTCATCACACTTGACAATCATGAAAATATTAAAATTTGGCTACCTCATTTTTCCAGCACAATCTATAAGGAAGTGTCAAGAAACAGAATGTCTCTGTCAATTTCTGTAACCGGAAGCCATACACTTTAATCCCTCAGCCTTGGACTTTTATCTTCATGCTTTTTCATGTCTTTTTCTTTTCAAACTTATTGAACAAAGAGTATGTTGATCACCACTACAGATCTTACGGTATTTATTTGCTCTGCTACCTGAGAGAAATCTCTTTCTACTGAAATGTAAGAAAATATTTTTAAAGGGGTAATTCATGGCAAGAGCAAAGTCATAGTATGTAATTTTGCCTTTACATCATAATTCTAATATGTTTAGTTGTGAAATTTGTACGAGAACAATTTTAGAACTAAAACATGCAGCTGCAGTATCTCAATAAGAACAACTTTATAATGGCTAGTATGGCTCACTTTAATGACATGTTATGAAAAGGGAAAACAATTAAATTGTTTATAAACAATTAAATTCAGCTCACAGGGAGAGCTTATAATCAAGGACTATTCCTAAATCTCATAAAATTATAAGAACTTGAATAATACAACAAGGTGCAAAGAACTGAAGTTAAGCCAAAAAATGGTATCATGAATAAAATTTTGCCATGGTACCAAAATAAATCTAAAATAACACTGTGGATTCAAACTGATGGACTTTAAAAATTCATTAACATTTTAATGTTAATTCTAATAGTTCAAAGCATTTATTATAGCACTGAAGTATTTCAGCAGCTGAAAATCAGTAGACAATTGCCGAGTCATGTTTCTCCCTTTTTGGAAAGCATAAAACGTCTGGCTTTGGAGGTCATCCAAAGTAGCTTCCAATGGATGAGCAGGTTCAGACACAGTTCAGATAGGCATCAGTGTCAGGAATCCCTTTCAGTATCCAGAAAGGGCACCAAGACTGTCCAGCTAGAGGGCTACAAATAGAGGATGGCATATTTTACAAAATCTATTCATTTTCCATAAGCCATCCAAAGAAAGTGCTGGAGAGCATTAGGCTCGAATCAAGAATGCTTTGAGTGTCCTGTCACAGAACTGGGAAGAATGGACTGAGTGCAGCCATCAAAGAGACTCTGGCTTTAGGGTCAAGGTGCACGACTGAGTCAGTACTAAAGAATGGGGACTGGGCCGGGCGCGGTGGCTCAAGCCTGTAATCCCAGCACTTTGGGAGGCCGAGGCGGGTGGATCACGAGGTCAAGAGATCGAGACCATCCTGGTCAACATGGTGAAACCCCGTCTCTACTAAAGATACAAAAAATTAGCTGGGCATGGTGGCACATGCCTGTAATCCCAGCTACTTGGCAGGCTGCGGCAGGAGAATTGCCTGAACTCAGGAGGTGGAGACTGCGGTGAGCCGAGATGGCGCCATTGCACTCCAGCCTGGGTAACAAGAGTGAAACTCCGTCTCAAAAAAAAAAAAAAAAAGAATGGGGACTGTTCTGTCTGGGGGATTTCATATAGACACTGACCTCATCCCAGCAAAGTTATCCTCATGTGTTTGCTGTTGGAATAGAGGTGCTTTCTGCACAGCTGTCCCATGGCCTACTTACTGAGCCCATCCCAGAAGACAGCTATGCAGAAGGGAATGGGATGCACATCCCCACCTTCATAAGTATCTCATCTGCTGACAGTTCTCGGCCCCGAGCTCCAATTTTTCCTACTGATTTTTCAGGCCTTACTTTCCTCAGCCACAGTGGCCCAGGCCATGCTTTTACTACCTAAAGTTTAGCCGAAATTCAAGGCCAGACCATTTAGCAGAAGACCTGGTGACTTTCTAGCCTTTTCAAATCTTTCTCCCCCAGGGCAGGAAGGTATTTCCAAGTGCTGCTATCCCCAGTCCTTACATGCCTGCCCCTTGCTGCTGTGTTCCACCCACTAAATGCAATCACCTCGAGACCAAGACGAGCTCGAATTTCTCTTTACACATTGATTATTAGATTTCTGGCTACTTCCACTAGAAGGAAATGGCCTTTTTCTATGTCTTGTGTGTGAAATCTTTATCCAGCTTTAGTCACATAGACACACAACTGAGTGTAGCTTGCCATCTTCTGGTGAAATACGGTATCACTTTTAAGAGAGTCTTTCCCAAGGCATTCAAAGGTCTGGAGCATTTTATATATACATTTTTATATATATATACATTTTATATATATATTTTTTTAAGTTACAGGTTACACGGACAGATTGTGCAGGTTTGTTACATAGGTATACACGTGCCATTGTGGTTTGCTGCATCCATCAAGTGGGCAAAGGATATGAACAGACATTTTTCAAAAGAGGACTTTCATGCAAGCAACAAACATGATAAAAAAGCTCATCATCAGTGGTCCTTAGAGAAATGCAAATGAAAACTACACTGAGATACCATCTCATGCCAGTCAGAATGACGATCATTAAAAAACCTGGAGACAGATGCTGGAGGGGATGTGGAGAAATAGGAACGCTTTTACACTGTTAGTGGGAGTGTAAATTAGTTCAACCACTGTGGTCTGGACCAGTCTTGAGGCAATAGGAGTGTGCCACTTAGCACATTGTATTATGAAAATCCAAATACTATTAGGCCATGTAAAGCAGCAGACAATAATATTCAACATGTGGGAGCAGGGAACGTGAAGAAGTGGGGAAACTGAAAACATTTACTGCACTTATTTCTCTGTACAATCTAAAGCAAGCCAATAATTGATTTATCTTATTTTTGTAATGCATTCTGGAGAAAGATTGAGAAGTATCCTTGCGGATAACTTCCATGTGCATAACTCGATTTTGCATAATTTAACTCTGTTCACAGGCATGCTTCGCAAACATTATGTTGGAATGTGAAAGTACTGCAGTGAGTGATCTGCTACTCATGTGGAAGGATCAAAGCTTGTGAGTGTCTTAATTTTATTAATATTAGAGTTAAGAACTTAGACTGGAAACTTACCATTTCACAACATTATTCTCACTCATTTGCAACCTAATATTTCCCCTGAGTGGAATGAAAAGGAGGGTGTCACAGCTAACATGACGGGAACCACATATTACTCTGGCTATGGGCTAAAGAGCATATCACTGCAGAAAACATCATTCAGAGTACATCGTGAGAGCGGAAAATAAACAAAAAGAAAATTGGCCTATTACCTTCTTGTATTATCTTACAATCAGAGAGTTAGGTGTACTGCCTGCACTGTATTATAGCTTGTAAATTATATGAGTCTGTATGTCATCTTTTCCGCAAGAAAGTTTAGAGTAAAAATTTTGACCAATTTTTTAAGTATACATTAGGCAGCATGCATTTGTATTTACCTCCACTTTTGGCTTTATTTGACCTCATCTACTCTCTTCTTCCCTACATTCCACATTCTTCCCTCAATTATCCTGTTGTGTATTGTGTGCATTTATTTTTATTTTATTTATTTATTTTTTTTGAGACGGAGTATCGCTCTTGTGACCCAGGCTGGAGTGCAATGGCACGATCTCGGCTCACAGCAACCTCCGCCTCCTGGGTTCAGGCAATTCTCCTGCCTCAGCCTCCTGAGTAGCTGGGATTACAGGCACGCGCCACCGTGCCCAGCTAATTTTTTGTATCTTTAGTAGAGACGGGGGTTTCACCATGTTGACAGGATGGTCTCGATCTCTTGACCTCATGATCCACCCACCTCGGCCTCCCAAAGTGCTGGGATTACAGGCGTGAGCCACCGCGCCCGGCCGTATTGTGTGCATTTATATACCTTAAATCTTTTCTGGAAGATCTGGGAAAAATAAACATTAAGATTTGCTCGGGGATAACGTTTTTATTGTTATTATGCATAGCCATGCATTTTTGTGTCTTGAGATGAGTCTTCCTTCAAAGCATGTTTTTCTTATTATTCCTCCCAGGAAGCTGTGCCGAATGACTATATGTCGATGTGAACTTTGTATTATCTTCTCCAAGTTCCTAGGAAAAAGACAGAACGCACTTAATAAGATGAATGAAGAAAGAGTTTAGGGAGATCGTTGTTATTGCTATTGCTGTATCTTGTTTGAAACAAAATTTCCTTTATGTACTATCTCTTTAAGAGCTTTATTAAAAGCTTACTTCTTTTTCTTCAACTTCATTTTAAGTTCATGGGTATGTGTACAGGATGTGCAGGTTTGTTACGTAGGTGAAGGTTCGTCATGGGGGTTTGCGGCACAGATCATCCCGTCACCTAGGTGTTAAGCCCAGCATCCATTAGCTATTCTTCCTGATGCTCTCCCTCTCCCAGCTCCCACCGGCAGGCTCCAATGTGGGTTGTTCCCCACCATGTGTCCATGTGTTCTCGTCGTTCAGCTCCCACGTATAAGTGAGAACATGCAGTGTTTGGTTTTCAGTTTCTGTATTAGTTTGCTGAGGATAATGGCTTCCAACTGTGACCATGTCCCTGCAAAGGACATGATCTCATTCCCTTTTACGGCTGCATAGTATTCCATGCCATATACGTACCACATTTTCTTTATCCAGTCTATCACTGGTGGGCATTTAGACTGAGTCTATGTCTCTGCTATTGTGAATAGTTCTGCCATGAATATACACGTGCATGTATCTTTGTAATAGAAGGATTTATATTCCTTTGGGTATATATCAGTAATGGGATTGCTGGGTCAAATGGTATTTCTGGTCCTAGGTATCTGAGGAATCAGCACACTGTCTCTCACAATGGTTGAACTAATATATACTCCCACCATGAAGCCTTACTTTTAATCAAGGGTTTCGATGTTAGGATTACATGCATTTTCTTTTAAAATGTAAAACTAGCCTAATTTTATATCATTTTAGAAGGGGTTTTGAAGACTTATCTTGCAAGAGCTTTTGTGCTTGTCTGAAAAATAATTCTTCCTTATTTCCCTATTTTTGTTCCTTTCTTTTGTTCTGGCAGTATGCCAGCGTGTGTGTGTATAAAATTGACATCACAACCATGTAAGTGTACAAATCAATGGTATTAGTGACATTTACATGGTTTGCAAATGTCACCACAAACTATTTCCAAAATACTTTGTTAACTTAAAAAAACTCTGTATCCATTAAACAATAACTTACAATTTCATCCTTTCTTCATCCCCAAGTCTATAATTTACTTTTTATTTCTATAGTTGCCTATTCTAGGTACCTCATACAAGTGGAAACATACAGTATGCATTCTTCTGTGTCTGACATTTCATTTAGCAAAATGTTTTTGAGATTCATCCATGTTGCAGTATGTATCAATACTTTATTCCTTGGCTAAATAATATTTATTTATTAATGGCCAAAAAATATTCGTTGTATGTTTATACCACACTTTGTTCATTGTTCTGTTAATGGACACTTGGGTGGTTTCTGCCTTTTGGCTATTGTGAATACTTTTTCTATAAACATTAGCGTACAAGTGTATGTTTGAGTCCCTGTTTTCAGTTCTCTTGGGAATACACCTAGGAGTAGAACTGATAAGTCAAATAATGATTCTATGTTTAACATTTTAAGAAACTGTACCACACAAGTACGCAGAAGATGTACCATTTTCCATTCCCACCAGCCCAAAGTGACTGTGGGTTTTTCTATCACTGTGCACTGTTTCCAAGCAATGCTCACTCTTTTTCCACCCTGAATGGTTTCCCAGTCAGGTAAAACAGAGATGAATACCTTGTCCCAGGCTGCAGAAAGGTTAAAACAGACAAACACTATCATTTGTGAATCAGATCTGCTCTCTTCTCTCTGGAACCAGAGATAGGGTCCCGGCCTGGGAACACAGCCTGCGGTCTTCAAGCTGGAGTTATGGGACAAGCAAAAGTGCCACACAGCTTTCATAACATTCTTAAGTTGCCTTTGTGTTGATCCAGCATTTTTTTTTTTTTGAGACGGAGTTTCGCTCTTGTTACCCAGGCTGGAGTGCAATGGTGTGATCTCGGCTCACCACAACCTCTGCCTCCTGGGTTCAGGCAATTCTCCTGCCTCAGCCTCCCGAGTAGCTGGGATTACAGGCACGCGCCACCATGCCCAGCCAATTTTTTGTATTTTTAGTAGAGACGGGGTTTTACCACGTTGACCAAGATGGTCTCGATCTCTTGACCTCGTGATCCACCCGCCTCGGCCTCCCAAAGTGCTGGGATTACAGGCTTGAGCCACCGCGCCCGGCCCCAGCATTCTTTTGGTTGCTGTGAACCCTTGATTATTTTCCAGGTTCTGACAAATTTGGTTCTGACAGTCTCTGGTTGTCTATTCAACATTCCTATAGAAGGACAGGAGCTTAGAGCTGTCTTCCTCACCATGTTGCTGACACCACTTCAGTGAATCATTCTTGATGTCCCTGCTCTGCGAGTTTGACTTACACTCCATTAAAATGCTCTCTACCTAACATGAGCAAGACACAACTCATAGTATTTCCCTCTAACTTGCTTCTCTCTTCTGGGCCCCTGTCTAGGAATGGTTAGATCCTTTTTTCAGGTACTCAAGTTAAGAAGCTTTCTCTTTTCCCACTTATTCGGTAGAGTGCTAGTCAATCAGAACTGTGGATGCCATGCAGACTTCTAAGACTTATCTGATCATTCCACTTATGACAAAGCTTATTTTTTTCTAAATTAGCCCAGGCTTTATCATAGTTCATTTTGATTATTGCAATGCCCCCTGCCTGGATAGTTTTGCATTTCATTCCCCCTCTCTCCACTTCCTGTATGCATCTGCCCAAAGAACTCATGCTTACCTCTAGTTACCCTAAGACACACGTTCATTTTCTATCCCTTGCTCTTGGAGTCATTAGTTCCTTTAGGCCAGGAACAAGGACTGCATATATTCATCCCTGCAACAGTTTCCAGCATATGAAATGGGCTAAGCAAATGATTCCTGAATGTCTGAAACAGACCCACAATACCAGCCCTCAGAGTGATCTGACACGGTGTAGTATACATAGTAAGACAGGAACCAGCAAAATGTCTATGCGTGTCAGTATATATGTACATAAATATATATACACACACATGTAGATCTACAGTTGCTTAAAAACTTTCAAAAGTGAATTCTCTTTCTTGTTTCCTCATCTCTGATTTTGAAAATGCTACCCATTCTTCAAGGTCTATTTCATTTCTTACTTTCTCCAGCTCCTAACGATGGAACATATACCTGCCAATTCAGCACTGAATTCCACTAATTGGAAATCCCCTATATCAGTCCTATTGCTTCCCCCATCACCAAAGGGAGGGATATGTGGATGTTAGGAGAGAGACGGGAGAAGCAACAGAAGCTATAAACAGAGTGTAGCTTCAATGACAGCCCCACCCTGCCAGCCACTCTTCACCGACATGCCTGGTGGTGGTGATAATTAAATGCTGTGTCTGTGAGTTTCATCACTCCATTAGATTTGCATTTCCTGAAGGTAGCAACCTTCATCAACTAGTTTTGTATTAATCAAGAACCCACAGTTCAAGTAGACATATGATACATATTTTCCCAACATAAATTTCCATGGGCTGTGAAATCATGCCTTGGTCTGCTATTGAGTCAGACTTTTGAAATAAACTGTGTTATGCTAGAAGTAACTTTTATTTTATACACCTGATGTGTCAACACACTAGGAAAATTATATCCTAAATGACAATACTAAGAAAGTAATTCACTCTTCTCTCCCTAAAGAAGCTTGTTGGGTATGCAGGGGTTTCTCAGTTTCACAGTGCTTTTTCCTTACGCTCTAGAAATTGACTCTCAGTTTGGCTCATCCAAGAGGAGACACCACTCCACACACAAACAGGCTGTGCGGTCATATTCAAGTCAGCAGCCAGAGCCACGTGGTGGACATTGGTGAGCCTGCTCTTTGAAAATAAAGAAAGCCAGTTTGATGAGCAAAGTGACCCATCTTGCCCTTCATCTCCTGCACTGTTTAGTAAACAGGAGATTCAATGAACTTACTTATTCTGCAGACCTCTATCCAATAAGTACTTATTTGCCAAGGCATGGAAACAATATCCTTTTGCTTTATGATTTCTACTCTTCTATTACATTATCATATATCATGAAGAGGTAGTTAGTAGGTTCTAAATGTCCAAATAATTAGAGAACAGAATACAGGTTGCTGGATAAAACTTTGGCCATTCAGGTGATTGTTAAAAACTCAGGAAACAATAGATGCTGGTGAAGCTGCGGAGAAATAGGAATGCTTTTACACTGTTGGTGGGAATGTAAATTAGCTCAGCCATTGTGGAAGACAGGGTGGCGATTCCTTAAGAATCTACAACCAGAGATACCACATAACCCAACAATCTCACTACTGTGTATATACCCAAAGGAATATAAATCACTCTTCCATAAAGACACATGCACACGTATGTGTATTGCAGCAATATTTACAATAGCAAAAACATGGAACCAACCCAAATGCCCATCAATGATAGACTGGATAAAGAAAAGGCGGTACACATACACCATGGGATACTACACAGCCATAAAAAGAGACCAGATCATGCTCTTTGCAGAGACATGAATGAAGCTGGAAGTAACCATCCTTAGCAAAGTAACGCAAGAACAGAAAACCAAACACTACATGTTCTCACTCACAAATGGGAGTTTAACATTGAGAACGCTTGGACACAGAGACGGGAACAGCATGTACCAGGGCCTGTTGGGAGATGGGGGCTGAGGGGAGGGAACTTAGAGGACAGGTCAATGGGTGCAGCAGACCACCACGGTACACGTAGACCTATGTGATGAACCTGCATGTTCTGCACATGTGTCCCCACCCATTGTTTTAGAATCAATTGAAAAAAAGAAACTTTGATTCAAACTGGAGAAGTGGAAAGGAGTTGAGGAGAGGGACTACATGAGACTTTTTTCTTTTTGAGACGGAGTTTCGCTCTTGTTACCCAGGCTGGAGTGCAATGGCGCGATCTCGGCTCACCGCAACCTCCGCCTCCTGGGTTCAGGCAATTCTCCCGCCTCAGCCTCCCGAGTAGCTGGGATTACAGGCACGCGCCACCATGCCCAGCTAATTTTTTGTATTTTTAGTGGAGACTCGGTTTCACCATGTTGACCAGGATGGTCTTGATCTCTTGACCTCGTGATCCACCCGCCTCGGCCTCCCAACATGAGACTTTTTATGTCACCACATAAATGACACCACAGCTCAAGACCAAGGCATGCAAACCAACGTGTGCGCTGCTTGCCCTGCTGCCTCCATCTCTGCAGCCTGGATGCAGCATCCTCAGCCTGGTTACAAGCAACCTGAATCCCTAAGGTCATCAGCATCTACAAGGCCCAGCTTTGAGGCTGAGGGGCTACTATGCAACAGCATGGTGTGTCCAGCAGGAAATAAAGATTCAGGAATTTAGGAAAAGTTCCGCTTTCTTTTAGGAAAGGCTTGTCCTAGCCTCAGCCACTGCAACGAGCAAATAAAATAAAATAATAATTAAACAGGTACGTACTTCCTAGTATGTACTTTAATTTTCTTCAGGATTCTCAGAAGAAAAGTCTTCAAAGAGTCTATTAATAACCTCTTTTGCTTCATAGACAGTAGATGCTCCATGGACAATATTTCTCAACTTACTTATTCCAAACTGGGCTCGGATGGAGTCAGGGGAAAGTACTTTTGCTTCTTCTGGGTCCGTTGGGCCTATTAATAGTCTCCATTTTGCAACAGCATTCCACTTTGTCAGAACCATGACCATAGATGGACCCCTGCAAAGAACGATGAATTCAGAAGACCCGGCCTACTGAAAACTATTGACACTGCAAACCAGTCTCATGACAGAACACTGCAGCCTGGGCCAGGGAGCTCCTCTTTATTCTTTGTCCTGATCAGTGCAACCAGGTACTTTCTTTTTTTTCATTTCTCCCTCTTCTAACAGGTTTATATGCCAGGTAAGTGCTATAATTTAAGTCTAGAGAATATTTGTCCATGAAGTCTGACTATTTTGCTACTTTGAGGTCTGTAAATAGAGACATTGCCATACACCCAGGACTTGTTGCGTTATGGTTGTCCTGCATCCGCTTACCCCTTCAGGGATTGCCTCCAGTTCAGACAGCCACGTCGCTCAGGCCACCCTCAGTGCCAGGTTGGCCTGCCTTCAGGTGACTGACTGATGTGAGGCTACAACAGCCTGGCCATCTCAGCCAATACTGGACAATGCTGATAGACCAGTCTAGCTGTGGTCAACACAGGCTGTTTTCTGGCCTGCACTGCCTCGTGACTCTCCTTCATCCCCATCCTGTTTCTTTTCCCTCTCTTCCTCCTGGCATCCTTAATCGATAGCCCGAGCAAGGAACTCTTCCCACTCCCCAGAAAATGCAACTTGCAACAGTTATGAAAGTTAGTTTTCTAAGCTGTCATGGTGCAGTCCTAGTCTTCAGCTTATTATTTATATCTAAATAGCACTTATGTTCTATTAAATGTTAACTTTATAAATTCTGCCATCCTAAACTCATTGACAAACGGTCAGGAATTGAAAAAAGAAAAAGTGTGCATTTAAAGAGGCTTCTTATACGTATCTTATACCTGTGTGTGTGTGTGTGTGTGTGTGTGTGTGTAGTCACATATCTTTTAACAATGGAGATACATTCTGAGAAAGGTGACATTAGGTTATTTCATTGTTGTGCAGACATCATAGAGTATACTTACAGAGCCCTAGATAGAATACTCTCTTACGCAGCAAGGCTATCTGGTATAGCCTATGGCTCCTGGGCTATAAACCTGTATAGGATGCTATTATATGGAATACTGTAGGCAATGCAACACAGTCATAAGTATCTGTGTATCTAAACATAAATGAACAGAAATGGTAATGCATTGAGTTATGACATCACAATGATCATGATGTCACTAAGGCAATAGGAATTTTCCAGCCCCTTTGTAATCTTACAGGACCACTGCTATACATGTAATTCATTATTGACTGAAATATTGTGCCGCAAAGCATGACTGTATATGTAATTTTTTGATATTTAATATAGATAATAGAAAAAAACATATTTAACTCCTAGTAAATCTGTAAGGAGGTTCAGATCATTATGAACTCTGTGTAAAAGAGAGTTTTGGAAAGCAGAAGTTGAAGGCAGTTTGGCTGGGGTCAGGACCCAGTCGAACATTGATTTTGTGACTAGACAACTTCTAGCCCTGGGCCTCTGTTCTCCCAAAATCAAAGTGGAAATTCTAGTAAAACTGCTTCATAGAGTTGTTATTAGAAAAGTCAAATGAAATAAAGTGTCTACAGTTCGTTACAAGGCCTGGAACTAAGGAAACCATAAATGTCCACCTTTAATTCCTGTGGAGTGGTTGCAGAGGTCTGTGTTGTCAGTAACAGAGCCATCATGTAGAAGGAAGTTTTAAAAGAGTGTATTTTTTATCATAATATTTATGTCATTGTGTATACATAGTTTGACAAGGTATCAATACATGTACAAAAATATGTGAATATATATAACATTTGTCAAATGTTTGATATCTGTCATGCACTGTTCCAAGTACTTCCAACACATCAATTACATAGTCCTCACAACAAGCCTATTAGGTGGATACTACTATTATCCCCATTCTACCGATAAAGAAACTCAGGCAGTGTTGGCCAAGCAGGGGTTTGAACTGAGGCAGGCTCTATATACAATGTGATGACCTAGAGAAACAGGAAAGAAGGAAGGAAAGTAGGAAGGAAGGAAGAAGGAAAAAAGGCAAAAAGGAAGGGGAGCGAGGGGAGACAGAAGGAGGGAGAGAAAGGAAGAGAAAGGAGGGAAGCAATAAAAAGAATACGAACCTCAAATATTACCAGAATGTCTTTTCATGAATGAGACTAGATAAAATGTTTTAATTAGGTTTTGTATTTTTCAAAGTTTCTATAATGAACATTTGCCACTTATATAATGCAAAGAATCGTGTACCAGAGACTTACTCAGATAACATTTCCAATAAATCTTTATAAAAGTCTTTTCCTGTTATTTTTGAATAGATTTTCTCTGCTTGATCAGGAGTTAGGAGAATTTGCTTCACCTGTGTCAGTTCAAATCCAGCCTCCTTAATGATCTTCAGGATCTTCTCTAGGAAAAACAGATATTTGATAATATTGCAGATTCCTTCACTTTTCCTGCACATTCATGTAACCACAATAACTAAGGAAAATGAGAGTTTAACTTGCACCCTGTGGTTTCACATGGCAAAACTCTGCTAAACGAAGTTCAACTTCAAAAGCGCCAAATTCACATTCAAAGCTCTAGGATGTTAATGCAGATTTTCAGGCTCTGAGGTTCACCTTTTCAGAAACCACCTGAAACACCTAGTAGACCACAAGAGTGGAAGGGAAAGGGACCTGCTCTTATGCTAAGAATAAAGATACGTTTTCACCTTTATGCTACAAATGCCAAGGCATTTCTTGCTACATATGGATTGAAGGATAATGCCAATCTGAACTCTTCTCCCTGAAGAATCAGAGTACCATTGAGGAAATTAAATAAAGCAAATGTTTTCAAAATCTCACCAACAGCCTAAGTTTTGAGGGCTACATTCTAGAGACAAAGGTGAACCCCCTGAGAAACTGGGATCTTTCTGGTAAAATAGCCTCTTCCTTGCTCCAGATCAAGAGCACATAGAGTAGGCTGGGAGCTAATGGCAATCTGATTATAACCAACAGATAGCCTGGAGAAGGCTGGACCTCTCCTGCTAGAAGGGAGACGGCCAGGATCTGCCCTCACCTGGCACTGCAGACATGAACGGGAATAAAATAAAGCTTTCCTCACGTATTAATTGTCTCAACAGAGAGCCAGACCTATAAGATCTAATGAGAAGGTGATCATTATTATAGAGTAATATATAAGGTACCCAGAACCACAGGTGAGAAAACCATTAACTTTCTCTGGAGACGTGAGGGGTGACCTCTCAGAGACACAGACCTTTGTGTGGAGCATGGGAAAAGTACGGTGTGATCACCAAGTGGACAAGTAGGGAAAGGACACTGCAGGCAGAGTGAGCAATGTATGCCAAACGCAGAGGGAGGGGAGAACTGACTGGGTGGAAATATACTAGAGATGAAGTTGGCCAAGTGAGCAGGAGAAGGATTATCAAGAGCTACGCCCTGTGAAGAAATCTAGACTTTACTCTAAAAACAACAGGGAACATTTGAGACATTCTAAGAAAGAACATGTTCAGGTCTGTGCTCTAAAATGTTAATTTTCTTTGCATCATGAAGGTGAATTAGGGTAGGAGTGGGTGATTGCGGCATTGCAAGCAAGGTATTTGAAGACTAATGCAGTTTTTGGAAGGCAATACTTCTTGGGAAAAGCAGGCACCTTGGAAAAGAAAAGTCCCTCGATGTCCTAAGGTAAAGGCAGCAGGTGGCTCAGGTTAACACTCAAGATAAAGGCAGAGTGCCACAGGCAAACAGACAGATGTCCCCCTGCAGAGGCCCTACCTATTAAGAAACTACTTAATTACACTAATACAAAACCAAGAGAACATCTGAGCTGAGAAATGGAATGAGCTAACCCAAATCCTGATTAATCTTTACGAAACCATTATAAAAGATAAAATTAAAATTACTATTCTAATTAAAAATTTCTTCCCCACTAAATAAATAAATAAGAGAGAAGGAGGAAGGAAGATAGGAAGAAAGAAAGCCAGCAGAAGGATGACAAATAGCCCCCAAACTGTAACACGGCACTCTAATGTGAATTAAGCAGTTTGAACATAAAAAATCTTAAATTGGAACTTCAGACTCAAAATGAGAAGCGTCCAAGCAATGAGTAGATGTGAAATGAAAGCTGCACTCAAGAAAGACAAAGATAAAATAACAGAAGTAAACTAGGTGTCTAATTTAACTTAAAATATAGAGAAGGACATAGAGAACAGAAGTAAAAATAGCCAAATTAAAGAAAGAGAAGTCAATAGGGGAAGTGATAGATACAGAAGTCAGGCAAAGAAAAGCATGTCTACACATGTATGTATGTAGATAGGTAGGTGTGTGTGTGTACATATCTGTGTATATACATAGTTAAATATTATATATAATATATATTACTGTATTTATTTTGGAAATTTGACTTCAGCATATCAAAAAATGATTTTTTTAAACTACAAATTGAGAAAATCAATCTAAATACTCAGAAACTTCAAAAGAATTTCCCATTAGTTCAGTTAGTGAATTCCCTAAGGAAAACGAAAAAGAATGGGGAGGGGAGCATCACACACTGGGGTCTGTTGCAGGGAGGCGGGGCAAGGGAGGGACAGTGGCGGGGTGGGGAGTTCAGGGAGGGAGAACATGGGGAGAAATGCCAGATGTAGGTGCGGGGGATGGAGGCAGCAAACCACATTGCCACGTGGATTCCTATGCAACGATCCTGCATGATCTGCACATGTACTCCAGAACCTAAAGTACAATAATAAAAAAATAATAGTAACAGTGGAACAGAGCTACTATTTAAAACTGTGAGGCAGGGAAACAATCTTGAAAGAAGAGAAAAATCTAGACAGTGAAAAAGACTAGCATGTATCTGGAAAAATAAGCCAAGAGTGATCAAATCTCAGACGTATTTTAGTAAAACTACTAGACTTGAGAAGCAAACAAAAATCAACCTTTTTTTTTTAAATTTTTTATTGCATTTTAGGTTTTGGGGTACATGAGCAGAACATGCAAGACAGTTGTGTAGGTACACACATGGCAGTGTGCTTTGCTTCCTTTCTCCCCTTCACCCACATTTGGCATTTTTCCCCAGGTTATTCCTCCCCACCTCCCCTCCCACTGGCCCTCCCCTTTTCCCCCCAATAGACCCCAGTGTTTGGAATTCCCCTCCCTGTGTCCATGTGTTCTCATTTATTTTGGCCACACACTGTGTTACTCACAATGAAACAAAAGCCAATACGGCACCGGGCTTCTTGAAAGAAACACAGGAAACAAGAATAGAGAGACACTGTCAAGAAACTGCAAGAAAAAATGTGAGCCTAGGATGTTTTAATCCAGCATTCATGTAAATATATTTTCTAGCAAAGTATATTTCACACAACTTCCAAAAACAGCGTAGCTCTAGAAAAGAGAAAGTAGATTAAGCACACTAACTGTCACGAAGGTAATAGGGTACCATTTAAATCAGAGAAAACAAGTAGTAGGCACTCATTCAAGGGAAGAGAACTTTGGAGCGTGTCCAGCTCACCTTATTTTGTTTTTGTCGTGTTTTGTTTGAGGCTTTTAGCAGCCTGAAGACATGGTTTTTAGTTTGTCTCTAGTGATAACCAGAAAAGAAGGATGAGGAAGGGGCTTTACTGGCCCAACCAGAAACAGAAAGTAAGAACTCATGACTATATTCTCTCCCTTGGGCACCCCTGATAGACATCCCAAAAAAATAACTTCCAGAACAAATAAATTTCTCTAACACAAAGAAAATGTAAAAGAAAAAGAACAACAGTAAAAGAAAAATAACATGTAAACATAACTTAAAATAAGACATTTGAAATTAAACACATTATTAACATAAAATAAACATATTATGTGAGTTTATCTCACCTACTATTTTTTTTTCCTGTAAGACCTAAAACAATAAAACTATTACAAGAAAATACAGGTGAAATGCTTCATAGCATTGGTCTCGGCAGTAATTTTTTTTGATAAGACCTCAAAAACACAGGCAACAAAAGCAAAAATAGACAAATGGGATTGTATCAGACTAAATTCTACACAGTGAAGAAAAAATCAACAAGAGTGAAGAGACAACCTACAGAATTCAAGAAAATGTTTTTAAGCTATGCAACTGACAAAGGGTTAATATACAGAACATATAAGGAACTCAATAGAAAACAAATAAAAACACATAAAAGGATTCTGGTTTAAAAATGGGTAAAAACTTGAATAGACATTTCTCAAAAAAAGATGAACCATGACCAACAGATAGATGAAAAAAGGCTGAACATCTCTTAAAACAATAAAATTAATAGCACTACCATATATGATCCAGCAATCTCAGTAAGGGTATATATCCAAAGGAAATAAGATCAGTACATTGAAGAAATATCTGTACTCACATGTTTACTGCGGATTTATCCACAATAGCCAAGATAAGGAATCGACCTAATTGTTCACTGATGGACAAATGGATAATGAAAGTCTGATATGTATAGATATGTAATAGAATATTATTGAGCTACAAAAAGTAATTAAATCCTGTCATTTGTGGCAACATAGAAGAGCCTAGAAGACATGCTCTTAAGTGAAATATGCCAGGCACAGAAAAGACAAGCGCCGCATAACCTCACTCATATGTGGAACCTAAAGAAGTTGATCTCCTAGAAGCAGAGAGCAGAATGCTGGTTTCAAGAGGTGGGGAGGGTATGGAGGAGGGAGAAATAGGGAGAGAGAAAGTCGATGGGTACAAGTTCTGGTGTTCTACTGCACAGCAGGGTAACTATAGTTAATAACATTGCATTGTATATTTCAAAACAGGTAGAAGAGGAGATTTTGAATGTTTTCACCACAAAGAAATGATAAAGTTATGAGTCAATGGATATGCTGCATGCCCTGATTTGATTATTACATAATGTGTACATGTATCAAAACATCATGCTGTACCCCATAAATATGTACAATTGTTTCAATTAAAAAATTAAAAATAGGTGAGTTGCACACTGTTTTATTATGGCGAATTTGGCTGTTTAACAAACAGTTTGAGAGAAAGTCATAAATACAAATCCGCCTTTATGGGTTTTATGTGTGAGATAAGTCTAAAATAAGTGATTCAGAAAGGCTAAAAATAAATAGGCAAAAATGTACAAGGCAAATGCAAATAATAAGAAAGCAGGGTGTGTGGTCTTGGTAACAAACATGCAGAATTTGGGTCCTAAAGCCTTAAACGAGACAAATAAGAATTTGTGTAAAGCTAAAAACTAAATTCACCATGAATAGTTTTAAATATCTATGTATCAGATAACACGGCCACCACCTTTATAAACCAGAAAATACAGGAAATACAGCCAGAAATATGCTGAAAACAGGTAACTCACATCTCTAGTTTCTGACAGATCCCCCAAATCCAAGACAGATCAAGGTGGGAAACACATAAAGCAAGAGGAATCAAACCATAAGGCTGGTCTTATCTTCTATTCCGATGTTCGCTGTGATACTAGTGATCATATCTTCTCCTCATACACACAGAGTCTTCACAAAGGTTCACCATATGGTACTTCAACAGAACCATAATAATTTCAAAAAATGCAAGCTTTTTCTTCTACCAGAATTTTTAAAAGTCTCTTTAAAAAGTAATTTATTTGGCCGGGCGCGGTGGCCCAAGCCTGCAATCCCAACACTTTGGGAGGCCGAGGCGGGTGGATCACGAGGTCAAGAGATCGAGACCATCCTGGTCAACATGGTGAAACCCCGTCTCTACTAAAAATACAAAAAATTAGCTGGGCACGGTGGCGCGTGCCTGTAATCCCAGCTACTCAGGAGGCTGAGGCAGGAGAATTGCCTGAACCCAGGAGGCGGAGGTTGCGGTGAGCCGAGATCGCGCCATTGCGCTCCAGCCTGGGTAACAAGAGTGAAACTCCGTTTCAAAAAAAAAAAGTAATGTATTTATTGAATAACTGTAAGGCCCGAGGGAAAACACAAACCAAAATTACACAATTTTAATAATTAATTATCAATAATCAATAACAATGAAAACACTACACATTAGAACCTGTGAGCTATAATTAAAGCAGTAATCAAAGAAAAATGTACAACCTTAAAATTCATATCATTAAAAATTAAAAGTTGAAAATAAATAAATATCCAACTCAGCTAGAAGAACATAAAAAGAAAACTACTAGAAAACAGAAGGAAGAAAATTGTGAAGATAAAACCAAAAATAATAGTTAGGAGAAAAACGTAGAACTCATGAATGAATTAAATTTTTATTGTTTGAAAGGGAACAAAATATAAAGGGTAAGTTAGAAATAATCATTGAAACAGAGGAAATTTAATAATGATAAGAAATTACAAATCACATAGATGAAGAGATAACTTCCTAGGAAAACATAATTTAATGAGACTTGCTCAGAGGGTGATAGAAAGTTTAAATAAAGCAATTTTCATAAAAGAAACAGAAAGCAATCAAATAATTATCCCATAAAAAAGCAGCAGGCCCAGATGTTTTCACAGGAAAATTTAACCAAATCTCAAATATCAATCTCAGTGCTGCTTACACTCTTTTGGAGCTTTGAAAAAGATGTTCACATTCCTTATGAAATATTCCATTGATTTCTAAACCTGATAGACACCAAACCAAAAAACGGAAAGTAGAGGTCAATCTCACTTTTAAGTCTCAATACAAAAAAAAACCAACAACAAGTAAAATAGAAACAAACAGTATCCAAAATCAAACCTCAAAATGCATCATAACTAAGCAACACTTATATAGAAATGGAAGGATAGTTCAATATTTGAAATATCATTAACATAATATTTCATACTAATATATCCATAAAAAAAAACTCATCGCTTTTATAAATTCTATAAAGGACTTCAGCAAAATTCAATACCTTTTCTGATTCAGTGAAAGACAAGGAGAAGGATGAGGGAGGGAGTGGAGACAGTGAGGGAAAATAGGACAAAGTTAATTGTTGAATCTAAATGAAGTCTATGCATACTCATTGCAACTTTTGTTTTTTGAATTTTCTGTTTCTTTCCTGTTTTGATTTTCTGCTTGTAAATTTTTTAAATGTTCACAAAATTTGGAGAACATGTATATATTGGCTTTTATTCTTAAATGTTTACCTCTTTGTTCACGTGTTGCATGAGGTTTAATCAAGGCTAAGGTGCTTTGAAGAGGAAAGAAATGCTTTATTTCCATTTCAGCAGTTTCTAACGAATCACTGCTATATAACTGGTTGACTGGCAAACTGTCCATCGCAAATCGTGCACATAAACTTTGAAAAGAAGTGAAGTTTAAAAGTCATTAGAACAGAACAGAATAATACAACACAATTTATATAAGTGGTTCCAGCGTTATGAATAACAGCAAGTCATTGCAGATCTTGACCCTGTGCAAAAGTAAGTTAAGTACACAGTGGCTTAGGGCCTGCGACTTCTTTTCAAGGAGGCAGCGGTCATTAGAAAGCTTTCCTGAGAAGCTCCCTGGGTTCAGAGCTGTGGTTCCAATACCCGACATCTAAAAAGATATTTTAAATGGGGCGCATGAAAACAGATAGGGACCCATGATATGAATCCTACCTCTCTGGAAAATATTCAATGGCTTCTTCAACTGTTCTTGGTCCCAGTAACTGTTTCCAGTGTTCCAAGCCATTATCCCTCAATAAAACAAGGGCTAGAGATGGACCACTATTAGCAAAGAGAACAAAGAGGGAATAAAAAGTATGGCTCAGTAGCTAATTACATACAGGCAATGTTTCATGTTGGTAAATAGATTAAAAACACGTAACATATAAAATAACCTTTTTAACAAAGGTCTAAAGTTAGTTTCCATTTATATGTTTTCAGGAGTATATCTATAAAAGAACAGAAGCAGAGAAAGGAGGGGAAGAGAAGGGCCATGATTCTTGTAGATGTTTCATTGTTCCTGGGCTCCTGCTGGTTTATATGCCCTTGTAGGATTTCTGCCTCAATTTCTATTTCAGTTATTCTTCCAGAAAGAAACCCTTCAGATTTCTAGCAACTCATTGTTTCCTAGAACGAGTTAACTATGAGATTCCAAAAGCTCTTGAGAGTCAGTCAGTTCTCTGCTTAAACTTGATAGTATTGTACACCCTGGAGTTCTGGTGTTCAACTCAATGGGACTTGGCAACTTGATAGAAAGCAGACTTAAAAGAAAGTTTACATGATTCAGAAATAAATCAGACTGAGTTTTCTAAATCTGACTTCTACCTGGTCATGTTTTCTATAAGTTTCTTAAAATAATCTTCATTTTCATATTCCTTGCACAGTGCTTGTGCTTCATCTTCTGATAATACTAGCTGTCTTTGCTCCAGTATTTTGAAGTCTTCATCTTTAATAATATGCAAAACATCATCTAAATAAAAACAGTCACATAATCAGTTTTAAACTGGTAGGTTACTGGTTGTGTACACAATACATTATATAGTATCCTGAAGGCATACGATGTAGTTTATTCTCAGGAAATTTTAAAAGTTTGCAAAAATAGCTTCTTCGATTTTAATTTAAGGTGAACAATATCTCTTAACATCTCATTACAATGCCATTTCCAATTTTTCATCACGTAGGAATCATCACGCACGCATACACATATACAACACACACACACACACACACACATGTATCTCATTAAATCTTTTTCTTGGATATATGCATGTGAATGTGAGTGTGTGTGTGTGTGTGTGTGTGTGTGTGTAGATAGTAACTTAATCAATCAACCAATACAATTATGAAAGTCATTATAAATAAATCTATATTTAATAACCACAATTTTATTTGTCCCATTTGGGAAGAAACAAGTTGATTAAATATCTGAAAGTATTTCTCAATCTTCTCTCTTGCCTGCTTCCCACTGCAGAAGCCTAGAAAATCCAATACTCACCCCTCCATCCTTCCTTACAGATAGTGTGGCAATGTGATCCAGCTGTGGTCAATGATATTTATAGGAAACACACTGGGGACTCATCTGAGACGGGCACCCAGGAAAAACCTCTGTCCTACTTCACCTTCTGCTTCCTGCTTTTGAATGTTTGGGGGACATGATGTTTGGAGCTATGCAGGTCATCTTGTGACAAAGAGGGATAAATTAAAAGCACAAATATTGACTGAGATCTTGAACAGCCTTAAGCTCCTTATCAAGGCCAAAAAAAAAAACCAAAAAACCCAGCATCTTGACTGATACATTACTTCTCCTCTGCTGCATGGGAAATAAAGTGAAAAAACTAGAACTAAGCCGTCTTTACAATTGCAAGGAAAGAGTAAAACAAAGTATCATGCATGTGAATACAGTTTAAGCAATAATTGCTTCAGAACTATCTCACAGGGAAAAAAAAGGAAAACACAGGATGTGTAGTTCTTGAAATTGAAAAGATGAAATCATATTAATTCTTAGAGGATACTGAAGTTCTTTTTAATTATTAATTTTGTGAAAAGATTTCTCAAATGAGGATACCTGATGACCACAGATTAAAAAGTGACAGCCAATCCCCAAGCAATTGCCATATAATATTCATAGCTTCATTAATGGCTTCTTGAAATGACTCATGATAAAAGCTGAGGAAAAATATTGAGGGAAGGTAAATCTGAATAAAGCTAAAAAAAAAAAAGTAGAATTAATGGGAGAGTAGGTAGATTGATGACCCTTGAGAATCCTGAAGGTTGCCCTCCCTAATTTGCACTCTCTCAGTTAGCTGATCACAAACGAATTATAAACCTGGTATAGAGAGGGTCCTCACTGTCCAATGGATAAACTGAAAAAATATTGGCAAGTGTGCCTTATTTGCAAGATGGCATTTTCTTTGAACTCACCACTAAAGGATTGTTTCACTCTAAATTCCATGATGAATATAATAATACATATTTTATTTTGTTTGCACTATGTCCATGAGAATTTTCAAACATCCTTTCAAGCATTCCAGTGAGTGACACTATCTGATGCTGTATTTGGTAACAGGTATGGAGACACACCGAATTCCTGGTTCTAGATAAAGGTATGTAGCAATTGCATAGACATTTCATGGAATAACCTGATGCATAAAAAAATCACACTTCAAAGCCCAAAGCACCTTATCCTTCCTTCCTTCCTTCCTTCCTTCCTTCCTTCCTTCCTTCCTTCCTTCCTTCCTTCCTTCCTCCTTTCTCTTTCTTTCTTTCTTTCCTTCCTTCCTTTCTCTTTCTTTCTTTCCTTCCTTCCTTCTCTTCCTCCCTCCCTCCCTCCCTTCTTTCCTTCCTTCCTTCTTTCTTTTTTCTTTCTTTCTTTCTTTTTTTTTGTTGAGAGGGTCTCATTCTGTCACCCAGGCTAGAGTGCAGTGGTACCACTTCAGCTCACTGCAACCTCCACCTCCCAGGTTCAAGTGATTCTCCTGCCTCAGCCTCCCCAGTAGCTGAGACTACAGGTGTGGGCCACCACATTTGGCTACTTTTTCTATTTTTAGTAGAGATGAGATTTTGCCATGTTGCCCAGGCTAGTCTTGATCTCCTGGGCTCAAGTAATCCAGCCACCTGGACTCAAATGGTGCTGGTACTACAGGCACAAACGACAGCACCTGGCCCACACCTTGACATCTTACTTCTCATCAATCAAAGGCAAATTTCTAAGCAAGGTGCTTAGTAGTTAAATAAATATGTAAACATCAGTTCATTCTTAGATATCTGCACAGTCTTGAAAAACAAGCAAACGTAAAGGGAAAATATTTTGCAAGTATCTAAATAAAACAAGCCACAACCACCAACAACAAACACTGAATTTTCTGCAAAAGAACAAAAACCAAGCTGACAGCAGACTTTTTCTCTGCAATACAATTTTGTGCTCACAAATTTGCTAATTTAGATAAATTGACCCATTTTTTGAAATACACTAAATATTAAATACCAAAACTCACACAATGAGAACTAGGTAATATGATTAGCTCTACAGCTATTACATAAATTGAATTAATCCTTAATAACATTCCAAAAAATTAAGCACTAGGACCAGATTATTTCACTAGTGAATTCTACAAAATGTTTAAGGAATAAATGACACCAGTTCTCTGGAAACAATTTTTTATTTCCAGAAAATAGAAGCAGAGGGAACACTTTCTATCTCATTCAATGAGGCCAGCCTTACCATAATATTCAAAAAGATATTACAAGAAGAAAAACTACAGACCAATGGCTTTCCTGAACATTGGAGCAAAAATTCTTAACAAAATATTAACCATTCAAATTTAACAATATATAAAAAAGTTACAAACCATGACCAAGCAGGATTTATTCCAACTATGCCAGGGTGGTTCAACATTTGGAAATCAGTTAACATAATTTCCACTAATAGGCTAAAGAAGAAAAGTCAGATGATTATATTAGTAGATGCAGAAAAATCATATGACAAATTTAACACTAATTCATGATACAAATTCTCGCCAGAGGTGGAATAAAGGGAAACTTTCTCAACTTACTGGAGAGCAGCTAGACGCTTTGCCTGTAAGGTCAGGAAAGAAAAGCAAAGCTACTCCCTGTCACTGCTCCTCTTCAAATTCATACCAGAAATCTTAGCTAGAGAAATAACACAAGGAAAGGAAATAAAAGAGGAATGAGGAAACGTAGCAGCTGTTGTTCACAGAACGCATGACTGTCTACGTAGAAAATCCCAAATGATGATGATGATCATCACCACCGACAGTAACACAAAATTCCTGGAACTGATAAGAGAACATTACAGCAAAGGTTCAGGTTATAATTAATATATGAAAGTCAATTTTTTTCTATATACCAGAAATGAACAACTGGAACTTGAAATTTAAAACAAAACAATTTATACCAGCACCAAGAAAAGGAAATACATGGGTAAAAATATATCAAAATATGTAAATAATCTAAATGAAGAAAACTACAAAAGTCTGGTGAAAGAAATGAAAGATCTAAATAAATGGAGAGATATTCCGTATTCATAAATAACAAGACAATGTTAAGATGTCAGTTTTTCTCAATCCCTGTAATCTGTCGATTAAACACAATCCCAATCAAAAGCTCAGCAAGTTATTTTTGTGGCCATGGATATTGACAAACTGATTCTCAAGTTTATATGAAAAGGCCAAAGATGTGACTTAGTATTGAAGAACATAGCTAGAGAACTGATACCATCTCACCTAGCCGCATGGACTAATGGGACACAGCAGAGAGCCCAGAAAAAGACCCACACAAATATCGTCGATTGGTTTGTGATAACATTGCTAAGGCAGTAAAATGGAGGAAGGACAGTCTTGTCAATAAATCGTGCTGAAATAATGAGAAACACCCTCTCAAAAAAAAAATGAATCTAGACACAGACCTTATACTATTCATAAAAATAGCTCAAAATGGATGACAGGCCTACATGTAAAACACAAAACTATAAACTTTCTACAGAATAACACAGAAGAAAATCTAGCTGACCTTGTGGTTGACAACGAGTTTTTACATACAACACTAAAACCACATCTAAAAAGAAGCAACGAAGAAGCTGGACTATATTAAAAATTAAAAATTTTCTGTAAAAGACACTTTTAAGAAACCATAGAGTCAAAAACTTGAAGAAAATATTTGCAAACCACATACATGATAAAGACTTGTGTTCAAAATACACAAAAAAATTTTAAACTCAACAATGAGAAAATGAACAACTAAACTAAGAAATGGGTGAAAATCTAGACAACACAGCACCAAAGAAGATATAAAGATGACTAGTAAGCATATGAAAAGAAACTCTGCATAATATGTCATTAAGGAATTACAAATAGAGATAAAAATAAGATAATATTATTCACCTATTAGTATAACCAAACTCCCAAAAACTGACAATACCAAATTATGGCAAGGTTGTAGAGCAATAGAAACTCTGATTCATTTTCTGGCAAAAATGGAAAATGATACCGCTGCTTTGGAAGACATTTTGGCAGTTTCTTACAAACTACACATAGCTTTACAACATGATTCTATACTCACGCTCCTAGATAGTTACCCAGTTAAATTGAAAAGTTACATCCACACAAAAACCTGCATATGAACAACTACAGCGGTTTTATTCATAATGGCTGAAAACTGGAAGATGTCCTTCAATAGGTAACTACATAAATAAACGTAATTGCACACACACAGTGGAATATTGTTCAGTGATAAAAGGAAATGAACAATCAAGCCACCGGAAGACGTGGAGGAACACTAAGCTGCACATTGCTAACTCAAAGAAGTAAACCTGAAAAGGCCATCTACTGGCTGGGTGCTGTGGCTCACGCCCGGAATCCCGGCACTTTGGGAGGCGGAGGCAGGTAGATCACTTGAGGTCAGGAGTTCTAGACTACCCTAGCCAATATAGGGAAGCTCTGTCTCTACTAAAAACACAAAAATTAGTCCAGCGTGGTGGCACGCCTGCAATCCCAGCTACTCTGGAGACTGAGGCAGGAGAATCTCTTGAACCTGGGAGGCAGAGGTTGCAGTGAGCCGAGATCATACCACTGCACTCCAGCCTGAGCAATAGAGTGAGACTCCATCTAAAAAAATAATAATAATAATAACAAACAAACAAATGTATATATACGTTTGTTTTTATTAATGGCATAGGAGGGAGCAGGTATATGGGAACTCTGTACTATTTTTCTGTAAATCTACAACTGTTTACTTTTTTGGCTTGATTTTTCTGTAAACCTGAAACTGTTCTATAAAGTCTATTCATTTAAAAATTACATGTATTTGAAAATATTATCTCTTAAATATTAAAAGACATTCAACATGGCTAAAAGACAAAAATAAAATCTTTCAAAAAGAGAACGCCATGTCTAAATAATTTTACTCATAAATTCCAGTAAACATTTAAGATATAACTCCAATTCTACACTATCTCTTCTATAAAATAGGAATGGCTGCTTCTCATCTCACTTTATGAACGTGCATTACTCTGATGCCAAAACCAGATAAAAACATTACAAGAAATGAACACATACACTTCCTGAATATAGACACAAAAATTCTCAACAAAATATTAGCAAATCAAATCCAGCAGTGTGTAAAAAGGACAATACATGACAGCCAAGTGGGATTTTTCTGGAGAATGCAAGGCTGTTTCAACACTAAAAATCAAAATAATCAGCTGGGCATCGTGGCTCATGCCTGTAATCCCAACACTTTGGGAGGCCACGGCAGCTGGATCATGAGGTCAGGAGATCCAGACCATCCTAGCCAACGTGGTGAAATCCCATCTCTACTAAAAATACAAAAATTAACTGCGTGTGGTGGTGGGCACCTGTAGTGTTACTTGGGAAGCTGAGGCAGGAGAATTGCTTGAAACTGCTAGACGGAGGTTGCCGTGAGTCAAGATCGTGCCACTGCACTCCAGCCTGGGTGACAGAGCAAGACTCTGTCTCAAAAATAAAAATAAAAATAAAAAATAAAAACAATCCACCATATTATCAAAATGAAGGAAAAAAACACAATCACACCAATAAATATGGAAAAAACATTGAGAAAAATACAACATCCATTCATGATAAAAATTCTCTTCAAACTAGGAAGAGGTGGCAATTTTCTTAATGTAATAAAGGACATACACAGTTAACATACTTAATGGTAAAAGACCAAATGTTGTTGCTAAAGATCAGGTACAAGGCAAGGATGTCTCCTCTCCTCACTCCAGTTCAGCATCATACAGGAAGTTCTGGCTAGCTCAACGAGGAAAGAAAACGAAATAAAAGACATACAGATGGAAATGAAGAGGTTCAAGTATCTCACTTTGCAAACCATATTACCGTGTACCTCAATGATTCTCAGCTGGAGAGATTTTGTCCTACATGGGGCATTTGGCAACCTCCAGAGACATTTTTGGTTGTCACAACTTGAGAGTAGGGGGTATTGATACTGGCTTTTAGTGAGTGGAGACCAAGGATGCTGCTATACATTTTACGATGCACCTGCAACAGCCAATCCTCCACCCTTGGCAAAAAATCATCTAGCCCAACATGTAAGCAGGACTGAGGTTGAGAAATCCTGGTCTACACAGAAATGCCAAGAAAACTATATCAAAGCTCCTAGGAAGCTCCTAGGGAGTTCGACAAGTAAGAGAATAAAAGGTCAATATATAAATATTAATGTTAATTATGTTTCATACATTAGGTATAAAAAAGAATGAAGTGTTAATTTATGACTTGTGTTCTTGTTCTGCCACATTCACTCTGCTATGAGAATATGGGGTGAGATTAAAAAGAACTCTTTATGTGCCAAGCACTTTATTTATGTTTTCTCATTTTAATGTTCTGAATTTTACATGTGAAGAAATAAACTCGGTAATATATCTTGTTCAAGTCACACTATCAATTATGGTAGACCCACACTCTCAGTTATGTTTGAATTGAGGTGTTTCAGACATATTCTATATTATGTAAATAATTCCTGCAATGTTAAAATCTACTCTAACAAATTCACAGGTTGGAAAATGCCTTGTAAGCTCTTCAGCTACAAAAATGTTTTATTCATTATTATTAAGAAATTAGTAAGTTAATATACTAAATTTCTTACTCTAGGTGCTCTTTCTTCAATGTTAAAATTTAAAACAATGCTTTTAAATATAATTATACTAGGGTTTATTCAAATCCCCTCTATAAAATACTTAAACAATTTATGCTCAATTCCCTACCTTTCCTTTCATGAAAGAGATTTGGTCGAAGTAATGCCAATATCTTTTCTAATTTCATTCTTTTAATTTTTTTAAAATCAGGAAAGAAGATATCAAGGAACTTGGCCACATTAGCTGCATCCTCTTCAATGTCACAAAGCTGAGACTCATGCTGACTTCCCAGATATTCTTGTAAACTGTCAAAATCCAAAACATAATTTACGATTATTATAAACTGAAGTTGATAACCATGCCAACACATTAAAACTGCTGTCAGATGCGTATGTCCCAAATATTTCTTGCATTCTGACACACTCTCGCCCTACTTTCACACTCCATGTATCCCCTTTCTACATACTCACATAGGAACCTCAAAATCCAACTGTCCAAATACTGCCTTCTTGATCATTGAACCATTTTGCCACAAACACCCAGAAATGTCTAGGTTTTCTTGAGATAATTTAGAATCTAGAAGAATTTTCTTCTATTTCTAGAGTTCTTCATCAGCTATTATATTATAAAACCCAGAAATATGGACCATATGTGTCCATGTGCATGGTCAGAGATACAAACTTTCACTGATAAGAACTGTTTTTTTTTTCCCCTCTCATCCATATTTTTCCCTCCCACCTATATACACAAAAGGAGTATACAGGTGATATATTTGCTAAGTATGTCCTTGAAGATGTTCATTTGCTTTATCAGGTAAATTCTTGGCAGGAATTGCAGTCTTTTTCTTCCAATAGTCCTAAAATGAGCCCAACGGCAGTCAAGTATCTTTCCCTTGTAAGTAACTGATTTTCTATTGCTGCCAAGTACGCAGTTGGTGGAAGGGATCCACCTAAAGTGCAAGGACAATTTTAAACCAGTAATAAAAACAAGTAAAAGGCTGGTGGTTTCTTACCAGCACCATGTGGCAGCATTCCTAAACATTAGTGATAACGCTCCTACGTACACTTGGAATTCGCACATATTCATTACTTATCCTTTCATAAGCAGTGTACTGCTCATGGTGCTCTACGTAGAGTCAATCCCCAAACAACAAAGCTATTGGCAGTATTGGAATTTACACAATGTTCAAATACAAAGGCTTTCAAAAAGCAAAAATTGTACTTCATTTCTGTGATAGATTAATATGTACAGGCATACATATGTTTTACTGATAAGATACTAATCAAACAATTCATCTATCACTTTTTCCATTTGGGGCACTGTAACATTTATTTTTATTTTATACTCATATATTTAGATATTCAAAAGCCCATGAAAGACTCTTGTTTTTCTTTCTTTCTCTTTTCTTCCTCTCTCTCCCCCTCTCCTTTCTTTTGACAAGAGTCTCACTTAGTCATCCAGGCTGGAGTAGTGGCAGTCTTGACTCACTGCAACCTCTGCCTCCCAGATTCAAGTGATTCCCCTGCCTCAGTCTCCCAAGTAGCTGCGACTACAGGCATGGGCTACCACACATAGCTACTTTTTATATTTTTAGTAGGGACAGTGTCTCACCATGTTGGCCAGGCTGTTCTCAAACTCCTGACCTCAAGTGATCCGCCCTGCCCAGCCTCCCAGCGTGCTGGGATTACAGGCTTGAGCCATAGTATCTGGCTCATAAAAGACTATTTTCACTGTCTATGTGTTTATTCTAGCATAATCGTTTGCCTCATTCAGTAATTAGCACTTAAATATGATTTTGTTATACAGAGGTAGAGGATGTTAAGAAGATGACCTGCTCTGGGTTCAAACACATTAGGTACACAACTGCTTATTCTGTCTGTCTGGAAAGAGTGTGCAGTGTTTCTTCCCGGGATGCTCCTGTATTTGTGTGTGGAGTTGGGTGAAGTGGCATCAGTTGAGGGCGGGCCATTGTAAGCCCTTGCAGTTAGCAGACAAATGTGTTTATTCTGGGAAAAAATTTCCCCATTACTTGTTGAATTATGGCTTGTCCATCTGTTCTTTCTCCTCTGTGGAGCTTCTCTTTAGCAAGCACACGGGTCCCATCAGTATTATCCAAGTTGCTGACTTCGGCTCTCACAATGTCTGTCTAATTTGCGTGTGTGTGTACTTTCAGCCATTTCTTGCACCTGACTTTCCATGTCATTAATTTGAATCTCAAAGGATGATCATACTCACTAATTCTCCCCCGAACTTATAATTCAAATCAAAATTTGTATAATTCAAATTTGAAAGGCTTTTTAAATGCATACGTAGCACTTGAATCTCAAGCCTGATTTTTATTGTTATTTTATTTAAAGATTTTTCTGTCTCCTCGCAGTTCTTTTTCACCAGACTCGTGCTGTGAGTTTTGTATAGGTCTTCCTTTCTCTGTCCACCAGTCTCCCTTAGGCAGGTAGTCATTTTTCCTTGTCAGGTCACTGGGGCTTAGCTCTGGTTTTTGATATAAGTGTTGGAAACCCTGTAGTTTGAAGGCAAGATGACCTCTAGGTTAAAAGCTTGCAGTGTACAAGATAGTGGGTCATTATTCTTCTGCAGGGGCAATCAGGAAAAGCCTCCAGAGAGCTAGCTAGGGCAAGGAATTCAATAATTCTACTCAGTTCCATCTTGGCCCTTTAGGAATCAGAAAAACTCAGTGAAGTCCACAAGTCTGTTGTTCTCAAGGTCTGTAATGGCTCCAGGTCCTTGCCTTCCAGGGAGCTCAGGAGCTCCCCAAACTCTCAGTGGAGAAAACACCACACCACCTTCACCTTCTCCTGCATGTAGACCTGAACAGAGCTCCGGACCTCACCAATAGCCAGCTGCTTATCAGTACAGCTTCCCTTTGACTCCAGAGAGGTAAGAAAGCTTTGCAGATGGGAATAGAGTCAGGGTATAGAATTCAGACTGCTCTGACCTCAGAAATACCTCTAAGGATTATTTTAGGAATTGTATCTATTATGGTTAATTTAAATGAGAATATCATAAAAGAAAAAATTAGGCCCCCTATAGCTATGGCATTTATAAAGACAAATAGAGAGGTAACCGAAAAAAGAATAAATACTTTCTATGGACAGAGGAATACAATATAGGAGAGGAGGTTGGAAATGTCACCTTCACTCTGTCATGAAGACTTAAAACTGAAAGCGACCTCAGAGGTTGTCATCTAATTCTTCCCCATATTTGTATCTCCAGGATTTGGCATATAGTAGGACTTTAATAAATATCAGATGAATGAATCAACACACAACAGAATAAGTGAAAGAATGAGAAGACTGCCAGTTACTATTTGTGTGACTCTGGGCATTGCAGTTAACGGAACCAAACTTCCTGATCTGTAGAAAGACTGGAAAACAAAGCTAAATGCCACCATCCTTTGATTTCTTAAAACAGGCTGATTAAACGACAGACATGTAAATCAAGTGATAAAACGCTATCGTGAAGGAAACTGGAATGTGAATGACAAACATGGTACCTCTGCCTTGTTTCCCTGACTCCCCTTCCTTCTGCAGCCACTGGAGCAAGGAGGTCATGGGTGGCATGGAGAAAGTTTTCCCACACCCTGTGGCTTCATAAGCTGGGAGTGTTTGCCTCTGCAGGATTAACCAGCCCAACACAGCCCTGGGGCTCCGCTGCTCTGTACACAGAGAGGTCATGTTCGTGGAAGGGATCACCAATCACTCCTAGTTCAAATTCTCTGCTTTTAACTTCTCTCCTGTCTCACCCTCTTCATCCCCACCACTTAAAGAGTTGGGGGAGCAGCCTGGGAGATAGGGGAGAGGGGGCAATAAAGAGTGAACGTGAACAACTGAATAATTACTCATGTGAGTTTTTCTGTCCTTATTTCTTTACATTCTGGACCTACTTGAAAGACGTCAGATGGAAGTGACAGGGCCTTTCAGGCCCTCCCTCCAGAGCTAGATCTGTGAAAACAAGAACAAGCACTATAGAAGCTAGGGGAGAGCTTCCCCTCTGCCCTCTCAAGTTTCACTGAAAAATCAACAGACATCAATAGACAAAAAGTAGATTCGTTAGAGAAAAAGCAGACTAATTTGATTAACATGTACACGGGGAGAACCATAGAGTTAGTACCCGCCCCCGCAAGGAGGTTCAGAAGCTTATAGACCAAGCTTGCCCAAACCACAGCCTGCTGGCTGCATGAGGCCCAGGAAGTCTTTGAATGTGGCCCAACACAAATTAGTAAACTTTCAAAAACATGAGATTTTTTTTTTAAGTTCATCATCTATCGTTATGTGTGGCCCAAGACAATTCTTCTTCTTTCAGTGTGGCCCAGGGAAGCCAAAAGATTGGACACCCCATTATAGACCATCTGGCAAAACAAGTAACAGAGCCAGGAAAAGAATTTTGTTGAGGGGCAGTAAAGGATGACTTGAGAGAATGAATGGACCAGGTCACAGAAACGACCTTGTTCACTATCTCTTTTCAGGTGTGGTTACATTCTTGGTCTTATAGGGAGGGGAAGAAAAACAGTTGTTCTCCTTGGTGGATCTGTGGCTATTAGACAGATAAAAGAACTTCAGCCTTATGGTGTGCTTTGAGAGAGACAGCTGGCCGGGAGTGCTGGGCAAGTCAGAGAGATCTTGAGGCTTTTTCAGTCCAGCATGTCAAAGTGCTGTATTTTGGATATCAGTTTCTGAGCCCCAACACACCAAATAAGCATGCTCCACATTGTCCCATGCTGTCTGCTCCGGCCAGTTTGGGATAAGCAAAGATAAATGGGGACTCTACATTTAGAAAGATAGTACTGCAGACTGTGTCAGAGCAAGGTGTACACATTTCTTTTGTTTTGTTTTGTTTTTGAGACGGAGTTTCACTGTTGTTACCCAGGCTGGAGTGCAATGGCGCGATCTCGGCTCACCGCAACCTCTGCCTCCTGGGTTTAGGCAATTCTCCTGCCTCAGCCTCCCGAGTAGCTGGGATTACAGGCATGCGCCACCATGCCCAGTTATTTTTTTTTTTGTATTTTTAGTGGAGACGGGGTTTCACCATGTTGACCAGGATGGTCTCGATCTCTTGACCTCATGATCTACCCTCCTCGGCCTCTCAAAGTGCTGGGATTACAGGTGTGACCCGGCCCCATTTTTGAATATTTTAAAATACATCAATAAAAATATATAACCATTTTGTTCTCAGCAATTTATAACTACAAACTGCCTAAAGTACTAGTATGTGTTTCCTGTTTTTTTAAGGCACTGAGAAGGTGGAAGGAGAAGGTGGAGAGATAGGAGAGGAGACTGAATTGGGAGGGATTGTGCATGGTTCCAATACACCCTTCAAGCCCCAGCCCATGTGGCCACTCTGGTGTCCCCAGCTTTAGGAAGACACAGGGGGAAAAGGCTTCCCCTTCTAGTGCTCTTGACATAAACTTGCAGGGCAGTCACAGTGAAGGGAGCAAAGATCACCTGAGGGCCATCAAGCCAACCATCCAGAGGCAAAACTCCTCATCTGAGGAATATACAAGTAACTAGACTTCCCTATTATTTAAACTTGACTTCTGGTACCAGGCTTTAAAAAACATTATAAGTAACTAAAATTTCTATACATCTCTGGAAAGCATGCATGTCCACACTTATTGCGCAATCCCTGCTGACATCAAGACACCAAAATGTCTACAAATGTAATTATTTATCATGACCTATGTGGCTAAGAAGGTCCAAATTATCATTAAGCACCAGCTTTAAGGTCCATAAATATCCTTAAGGAAAAATCCACCATGGCAAGCTCAGTCCTCTCTTACTGAGGAGCCCCTCTGTATTCTTCTGCAGTGTTCTTGCTATCCAATAAAACTTTCCTTTCAAACCTACACTGTCATGTATCACTTCTTACTACCCTACAGCTCATGAGCTAACTGCTGTTTCCAATGCCAGGTATCTGACACTTCACCCAGCACACAGCTCTTCTGAATCTACAGTGTGTTAGGTTAGCTGGAAGAAATATTTATGCCTTTAACATAAAAACATTTGGCCTTAGGTATTGGGGTACCTATATTACACTTCATTATCCAATAGCACATTGCAAGTGACAAAATTCCTGGTCTTCAGCTATACCTGTCTCGTTTCTTCTTCGTCACTCCAGTTGTGACCTTGGCTTTGACCTCAGGCTGATCCTCAGATGGTTTGTGAGGTTCAGTGTCAGGCTGTGGTTCAGTTTCTTCAGAGGGAGGATGGTGTTTACTTCTTTGAGATAGAACTAGAACATAGCTCAGGCCACTTGTCATAAAAGAGACAAACTCTTCAAAGTCAGGCTGCAAAATAAAATGATAAACTGTTTCCTTCAGGCTTCTGAAACGGCTGGACTAAAATGGTGGTCACTACCCAAGTGAAATGAAATCTTCCCCTCCATGATCCCTGGGCCAGGGAATGTCACTTTAAAAAATCTCCTGTTAACAATATGTTTATTTTTTTGGGGGGGAGGGGTTTATTTATGTTTTTTTATTGGAAAGTAATTGTATATATTCATGGGGGGACATAGTGATGTCTCAATAAAGAAAATGTATAATAACCAGAGCAGGGTAATTTTGTATCCTTAGAAAAATAAATCTCTTGGACGGCAGAATCACTGAGACAAAGGAAAAAGTCAAGCTGGGAACTCCATTGGGGCAAACCTCCCTCTCATTTTATTCCTAAACAGGATTGCCACAAAGATTAAAAAGCTATATACCTCCCATGTAACTTGTCCACAAGGAAATTCCTTGTGGGCTTCCCGATCTTTACCCTAAAACAGTTTGGTTGGATGTCATCTTGGCAATGTAAATTGATCATTGATAGCTTATCTTCACAGGTGAGGGACAGAGGACAGACAGAACCAAAAGTCATTCCTCTGCTCACCTGAGACAAATCCAAACCTGATGGTTTCTTCTGCCCAGGTGTTTATACAAATTTATAAAATTTATATAATTGATACAAATTCACCAAGACAGACTAAGGCATAAGTGACTATTCCTCTATGGCATCTCACATGTAAATCGTGTATTCAGTGACAGGCTAATCAGAGGCTCAAAAGAATGCAACTGTTTGTTTCTTTTTTACCTATGACCTGGAAGCACCGCACCCCCCAACCCTGCTCCAAGTTGTCCCACCTCTCCAGGAAAAACCAGTGTACATATTACACACATTGACTGATGTCTCATATATCCCTAAAATGTATAAAACCAAGCTGTGCCCCAACCACGTTGGGCACATGCCATCAGGACCTCTTGAGGCTGTGTCATGGGTGTGTCCTTAACCTTGGCAAAATAAACTTTCTAAATTGATTACAACCTGTATCAGATACTTTTGGTTCACACCTTTAACAAATCTCTCTCTATCCCTTTAGAGTTTCTAGTCTCCTACATTTTTGAGTGGTAGAAGTTCAAAGCTAGCAGGAATTGATCTTGATGATAACCTAACAACATTCCCAAATTTTAGGATGTTTCCAGGTCACCTAAAGGGCTTGTTAAAACATATTTCTGGGGCTGGGTGCGGTGGCTCACACTTATAATCCCAGCATTTTGGAGGCCAAGGCAGGTGGATCACGAGGTCAAGAGATCGAGACCATCCTGGTCAATAAGGTGAAACCCCATCTCTACTAAAAATACAAACATTAGCTGGGCATGGTGGTGTGTGCCTGTAGTCCCAGCTACTCAGGAGTCTGAGGCAGGAGAATTGCTTGAACCCAGAAGGCAGAGATTGCAGTGAGCTGAGATCGCGCCATTGCACTCCTGGGTAACAACAGTGAAATTCCATCTCAAAAAACAAACAAACAAACAAAAAACATATATTTCTGGAGCCCAATCCTAGAGTTTCTGATTTAGTAAGTCTGGGATGGGGCTCAGGAATTGGATCTTCTCAAAAGTTTACAGATATGGGAATGCAGTTGCCATGATCATTTCCTTCTACACATGTGGAAGCTGGGGCCAACAGAGATGGTGTGCGTGGTGCAGCCAGTCCCACAAAGTGATGTGCAGTAGAACAGTCTGTGATGATGTACGTGCTCTTCTGCCCTTTCCAACATGGTAGCCACAGGTGGGTATTGAACACTTAAAATGTGGCTAATGCAACTGAGAATTCACATTTTCAATGTAATTTAATCTTAATGAATTTCAATTCAAATGGTCACATGTATCTAGTAGCTACCATATTGGACAGTGCATTTCTAGAAGTGAAGTCTCCTGACTCCCAAGCCAGTATACTTTCTAATACACAGCACTGCCTTTATTACATTCCCCCAGACAAAAGAGAGTTGGTAGGGCAGGGAGGTGGCAGGGCTGGGGCAGGTAGGGCGGGGGCAGCCTGAGAGAAAGGCCCTTAGAGAAAGAAAGTATTAAAGCATTCTTGTGAAGCTGCTGACAGAGCCTTCAACCCAGAGTAGAAATCTATAGGAAGGAACTGGATATTCACTTCCAGAGGACTGAGGCAGGGGCTCTTGGAGGACATGACATAAAGGGGTCTTCATGCCAACGTAACACAGTCAGACCATCCAGTTTTACTTGGCAGCCACCATTTCTACTGAAGATTTCTTCAGAGCCACTGTCATTGGCATCTCCATGATATGGACACCAACAGGGACACCAGGAGCCGTTCAGTTTGTCAGACTTACTCATTTGCTTTTCTGTAATAAAGATGTAAAGACTCTAGAAGGCCACTGTTTTTAAACACACAGTGGCTTTTTTATTTTTAACTTTCATACCTGGTCCACTATTCTGCTATAGAAGTTGACAACTTGTTCTTCAGTGAGCACTATCTTATCTTCTGCTTCTATGAAAAATCCTGCTTTGGTAATCTTCAGTTAGAGAGTAAGGTCAAATCCAGGTGTCATGGAATCACATGTAAAACAAATAAAATTTGTTTTCTGGGCTTAACAAGTCACCAGCTTTCAATGCATTTTCAATAAGAACCTCTGCAAAATCTATGGGGTGCTAGGTTTGAAGTGGCTCAAAAATATACAGACTTTAAAATTTGACTTCTCTGTTGGATTTCAGACTTGCATGGGGCCTGTAACTCCTTCATTTTGGTCAATTTCTCCCATTTGGAATGGCTGTATTTACCCAATACCTTTACCTTTATTGTTTCTAGGAAGTAATTAACTTGCTTTTGATTTAACTGACTTACAGACAGAGGGAATTTGCCTTATCTCAGATGAGACCTGGACTATGAACTTTTGCGTTAATGCTGAAATGGGTTAAGATTTTGGGGGACCATTAGGAAGGCATGATTTGTTTCAAAATGTGAGGACATAACATTTGAGAGGGGCCAGGAGCAGAATGATATGGTTTGTCTGTGTCCCCACCCAAATCTCATCTTGAATCTTAACTCCCACAATTTCCATGTGTTATGGGAGGAACCTGGTGGTGGTGGGGGGGTTATTGAATGATGGGGGCGGGTCTTTCCTGCACTGTTCTTGTGATAGTGAATGAGTCTCATGAGGTCTGATGGTTTTAAAAACAGAAGATTTCTTGCGCAAGTTCTCTTTGCCATTGCCATCCACGTAAGATGTGACTCGTTACTCCTTGCCTTCCACCATGATTGTGAGGCCTCCTCAGCCACATGGAACTGTAAGTCCAATAAACCTCTTTCTTTTGTAAATTGCCTAATGTCAGGTATGTCTTTATCAGCAGCATAAAAACAGACTAATATACAATGTAGTATAAGAACTATAATTTTTTTAAATTTACATAGATGCTGGTAGAGTAGGATTATTTTCATAAGAATGAATGAATAGATTGAGCCTTTGTAAAGATGTAAAAGCCTTTAGAAGTACCTAGCCTTTAGAGGTACTCAAAGGCTTTAGAGCTACCTAGCATCAGCAGCATATTTTGTTCTATTTCACTCTAAATGATAAGCTTGTCTTCAAACTGACGATTAAGAGATTGTTATTTTGCAATTAATTTAACCACAGTTGGAAAATATTACTTACTTTTCTTTTAATTTCTACACCTTTTCTACTAATCACAGCATCAGGTTTGATTATAGCAATACTATATGATTCCTCTAGAAAAAAAATTAGAAAAAGACAGAATTTCATTTTCTTGGCACAAAATCTGGATAACGAAGGATCTGGCAATTAACAATGTAAATTCCTAACGATCAGTGCATTGCTGCCCATCGGTAGCTGTGCATCTTATTACGGCATTTCAACTACCAAAGAGTTTCTACTTACAATCAAATGGCAGTTCCGATATTTGCAATGGAGGGGAAACATTCACAAGAGTTTTTAATCAAGAGGCAACAAAAATTGAGTAGGTAGGCCATGATGGTTTGAATGCAATTGCCATGCATGAGAATCACACACAGGGTCCATCCAGGACAGTATCACCAGTGAGTACAGTTTTAATGTTTACGTGCAGTGAGTCATGTGAGTAAACATTACCAACAGATTCGCCATCTATGAATGTATCGGCATCCTTATAACGAACTTTTAGTATAAGATAACTCGTTTGGGTGTGGCTGTTTGCCTCCGCCCCCTCCAGAGTATGAACACATACACCCCACCACCCCAACACAGGTAATCTAGTGAAGGTGTGAAATTGTCAACTGCAATGTAAATAAAGAGTATGGGGTCAGCAAGGAAGATATTATCTTCACCAATTTTTGGAAGATGATAAAGGATGAAATAGGAAGCTGCAGTCCTGATTAGTCACAGGAGACAGGAGTCCATTGTCCTGGGTAACCTCGGAAAGGCTCCAGGCCCAGAACCAAAGGTAAGACAAGTGAGGAAAAGAGTGTGCTTGTTAATAGCTGAGTCTTGCAAGGCACAAATCATCAGTTATCTGAACAACTCCTTCTTAATAAACATGGATTTTGTTACCAGTGTTTTGCTGTAACAAATGATGCTCTGAGGATCACCTATGTACAGAAAACCCTTGGATTGCTTTGAAGTGAATTTACTTACGATCACTTTCATGCAGTGCTTCCTCATCAGCTTCTGAATCTGAGTCTACCAGCGGAATTTCAGGATACTATAAAAAGGAAACGCAATGCAAGGCAAACAGAATTACGTTTTAATATGATACTGAGTGGGGTCTTAGAAATTTTATGTTTAGTAAATAACCTAAGAAATAGAAAGGAAAGTGAAAGAGAGCCTGAACTTATCTAACATGACAGGACTATCTCCAGCTTTCCACTAACATAAAATAAGGGATGTTTTAAAACGCAGGGGGCAGGAGTAATGCATATGTGCAGTATAAAAAGGGTAATAAACTTTAATTCTTTTTTTCATGTAGTAGTCTTGCTCTCTTGTCCAGCTAGAGTGCAGTAGTGCTACCTTGGCTCACTACAATCTCCAGCTCCTAGGTTCAAGTGATTTTTCTGCCTCAGCCTCCTGAGTAGCTGGGATTACAGGCATTTGCCACCACGCCCAGCGAATTTTTATTTATTTATTTATTTATTTATTTTTATTGCATTTTAGGTTTTGGGGTACATGTGCAGAATGTGCAAGATAGTTGCATAGGTACACACACGGCAGTGTGTTTTGCTGCCTTCCTCCCCTTCACCCACATTTGGCATTTCTCCCCAGGCTATCCCTCTCTACCTCCCCGCCCCACTGTCCCTCCCCTATTCCCCCAATAGACCCCAGTGTGTAGTACTCCCTTCCCTCCCTTCCCCATGTCCATGTGTTCTCATTTTTCCTCGCCCGCCTATGAGTGAGAATACGTGGTATTTCATTTTCTGTTCATGTGTCAGTTTGCTGAGAATGATGTTCTCCAGATTCATCCATGTCCCTACAAAGGACACGAACTCATCATTTTTGATTGCTGAATAATATTCCATGGTGTATATGTGTCACATTTTCCCAGTCCAGTCTATCATCGATGGGCATTTGGGTTGGTTCCAGGTCTTTGCTATTGTAAACAGTGCTGCAATGAACATTCGTGTGCATGTGTCCTTATAGCAGACTGATTTATAGTCCTTTGGATATATACCCTGTAATGGGATTGCTGGGTCAAATGGAATTTCTATTTCTAAGGCCCTGAGGAATCGCCACACTGTCTTCCACAATGGTTGAACTAATTTGCACTCCCACCAACAGTATAAAACTGTTCCTATTTCTCCACATCCTCTCCAGCATCTGTTGTCTGCAGATTTTTTAATGATCGCCATTCTAACTGGTGTGAGATGGTATCTCAGTGTGGTTTTGATTTGCATTTCTCTAATGACCAGTGATGATGAGCATTTGTTCATATGTTTGTTGGCCTCATGTATGTCTTCTTTTGTAAAGTGTCTGTTCATATCCTTTGCCCACTTTTGAATGGGCTTGTTTTTTTCCTGTAAATCTGTTTGAGTTCTTTGTAAATTCTGGATATTAACCCTTTGTCAGATGGGTAAACTGCAAAAATTTTTTCCCATTCTGTTGGTTGCCAATTCACTCTAGTGACTGTTTCTTTTGCCGTGCAGAAGCTGTGGAGTTTCATTAGGTCCCATTTGTCTATTTTGGCTTTTGTTGCCAATGCTTTTGGTGTTTTGGTCATGAAGTCCTTGCCTACTCCTATGTCCTGGATGGTTTTGCCTAGATTTTCTTCTAGGGTTTTTATAGTGCCAGGTCTTATGTTTAAATCTTTAATCCATCTGGAGTTAATTTTGGTGTAAGGTGTCAGGAAGGGGTCCAGTTTCTGCTTTCTGCACATGGCTAGCCAGTTTTCCCAACGCCATTTATTAAACAGGGAATCCTTTCCCCATTGCTTGTTTTTGTCAGGTTTATCAAAGATTGTATGGTTGTAGATACGCTGTGTTGCCTCTGATGCCTCTGTTCTGTTCCATTGGTCTATATCTCTGTTTTAGTACCAGTACCAGGCTGTTTTGATTACTGTAGCCTTGTAGTATAGTTTGAAGTCCAGTAGTGTGATGCCTCCCGCTGTGTTCTTTTTGCTTAGAATTGACTTGGCTATGCAGGCTCTCTTTTGGTTCCATATGAAGTTCATGGTGGTTTTTTCCAGTTCTGTGAAGAAGGTCATTGATAGCTTGATGGAGATAGCATTGAGTCTGTAAATTACTTTGGGCAGTATGGCCATTTTCATGATATTGATTCTTCCTAACCATGAACATGGAATGTTTCTCCATCTGTCTGTGTCCTCTCTTATTTCGTTGAGCAGTGGTTTGTAGTTCTCCTTGAAGAGGTCCCTTACGTTCCTTGTGAGTTGTATTCCAAGGTATTTTATTCCTTTTGTAGCAATTGTGAATGGCAGTTCGCTCTTGATTTGGCTTTCTTTAAGTCTGTTATTGGTGTATAGGAATGCTTGTGTTTTTTGCACATTGATTTTATATCCTGAGACTTTGCTGAAGTTGCTTATCAGTTTCAGGAGATTTTGGGCTGAGATGATGGGGTCTTCTAGGTATACTATCATGTCGTCTGCAAATAGAGACAATTTGGCTTCCACCTTTCCTATTTGAATACTCTTTATTTCTTTTTTTTGCCTGATTGCTCTGGCTAGAACTTCCAGTACTATATTGAATAGGAGTGGTGAGAGAGGACATCCTTGTCTAGTGCCAGATTTCAAAGGGAATGCTTCCAGTTTTTGCCCATTCAGTATGATATTGGCTGTTGGTTTGTCGTAAATAGCTCTTATTACTTTGAGATACCTTCCATCAATACCGAGTTTATTGAGGGTTTTTAGCATAAAGGGCTATTGAATTTTGTCAAATTCCTTCTCTGCATCAATTGAGATAATCATGTGGTTTTTGTTTTTGGTTCTGTTTATGTGGTGAATTACGTTGATAGACTTGCGTATGTTGAACCAGCCTTGCATCCCTGGGATGAATCCTACTTGATCATGATGAATAAGTTTTTTGATTTGCTGTTGCAATTGGCTTGCCAATATTTTATTGAAGATTTTTGCATCTATGTTCATCATGGATATTGGCCTGAAGTTTTCTTTTCTTGTTGAGTTTCTGCCAGGTTTTGGTATCAGGATGATGTTGGTCTCATAAAATGATTTGGGAAGGATTCCCTGTTTTTGGATTATTTGGAATAGTTTCAGAAGAAATGGTACCAGCTCTTCTTTGGGTGTCTGGTAGAATTCGGCTGTGAACCCATCTAGACCTGGGTTTTTCTTTGTGTGTGGTAGGCTCTTAATTGCTGCCTTGACTTCAGACCTTGTTATTGGTCTATTCATAGTTTCGGCTTCCTCCTGGTTTAGGCTTGGGAGGACACAGGTGTCCAGAAATTTATCCATTTCTTCCAGGTTTACTAGTTTATGTGCATAGAGTTGTTTGTAGTATTCTCTGATGATGGTTCGAATTTCTGTGGAATCTGTGGTGATTTCCCCTTTATTGTTTTTTATTGCATCTATTTGGTTGTTCTCTCTTTTCTTTTTTATCAGTCTGCCTAGTGGTCTGTCTATTTTGTTGATCTTTTCAAAAAACCAGCTCTTGGATTTATTGATTTTTTGAAGGGTTTTTCATGTCTCTATCTCCTTCAGTTCTGCTCTGATCTTCATTATTTCTTGTCTTCTGCTAGGTTTTGAGTTTTTTGATCTTGCTCCTCTAGCTCTTTCAATTTTGATGATAGGGTGTCAATTTTGGATCTCTCCACTCTTCTCATGTGGGCACTTATTGCTATATATTTTCCTCTAGAGACTGCTTTAAATGTGTCCCAGAGATTCTGGTATGTTGTGTCTTCATTCTTGTTGGTTTCGAAGAACTTCTTTATTTCTGCCTTCATTTCATTGTTTATCCAATCAACATTCAAAAGCCAGTTGTTCAGTTTCCATGAAGCTGTGCGGCTCTGAGTTAGTTTCTGAATTCTGAGTTCTAACTTGATTGCACTGTGGTCTGAGAGGCTGTTTGTTATGATTTCTGTTCCTTTGCATTTGCTGAGGAGTGCTTTACTTCCAATTATGTGGTCAATTTTGGAGTAGGTGTGATGTGGTGCTGAGAAGAACGTATATTCTGTGGATTTGGGGTGGAGAGTTCTGTAGATGTCTATCAGGTTTGCTTGTTCCAGGTCTGAGTTCAAGCCCTGGATATCCTTGTTAATTTTCTGTCTGGTTGATCTGTCTATTATTGACAGTGGAGTGTTAAAGTCTCCCACTATTATTGTGTGGGAGTCTAAGTCTCTTTGTAAGTCATTAAGAACTTGCCTTATATATCTGGGTGCTCCTGTATTGGGTCCATATATATTTCGGATCGTTAGCTCTTCTTGTTGTATCGATCCTCTTACCATTATGTAATGACCTTCTTTGTCTCTTTTGATCTTTATTGCTTTAAAGTCTATTTTATCGGAGACAAGAATTGCAACTCCTGCTTTTTTTTTTTTTTTTTTTTTTGCTCTTCATTTGCTTGGTAAGTCTTCCTCCATCCCTTTCTTGAATTTTATATTTTTAGTAGAGACAGCATTTTACCATGTTGTCCTGCCTCAACCTCCCAAAGTGCTGGGATTACAGGTGAGAGCTACTATGCCCAGCCAAACCTTAAAATTTAATAAAAGCATGAGAGAATATGAACAAAGCAGAAATTTATAAATAAGAAAGTCATAAACATGTACTTATCATGTTAATGATCAAAAGGACATTTGATAAGTGTGAAGATCTATTCTTGACCAGTACTCTCAGTAAATTTGGAACAAAAAGATATTTTGTTAACTTAAAAAAAAAATCTTTCTCAAACCAATAATCAATATCCCATTAAAGAGCAAAATACCAGAAGGACAAAGGTTCCTAATTTTCAGGGAAGCCATGAATATGCTTCTGTGATTCTGGGAACTATCCGAAAGGTTTCATTTTTATGTATATAAATATATATGCACACGCATTGCCAAAATGCTTCCCAGAAAGGTTGCACCATTTATACACCTAGATAGTTATAAAATTAGGTTAAGTAACTTAGAAAAATGTTAAAGGTAACATACTTTTTAAAAATTAAAATAGTTGCTAATCCAAAGTATTACCTGAGGTCGAGCCATTTCACCTGCTGCAATTTTCCTCTCCTCATGAATCAAGTTAACAACTTTTTTACTAACAAGCGGTGCATTTGCACCCTGAATCTTTGCGATAATTTTGCCATTCTATAAGGGAAATGAAAACGGGAGGGGAACTTTCATTTGCAGAATATGTCAAGAAATAACACTTAAAACTGGACTAAGTCATCCCTCCCTTCTACCCTACCCTCATGCTCAGCAATCCTCTTTTAGTGATGGAAATTAATGATTTCACAGTGAAGTATTAATAATATGAAAGTTCTTCTTGACTTGGTGAGCTCAGCTCTGAGTTCTACCTCCAATTTGCATATCCTCCAGCTCCTTGAAACAAAGTCGCCTTCCTGCAGAAGCTGTCACCTGACGCAATCTCTCCTGAGGCATCCCAGTTTTTAAGTCGAAAGATTCTGGATAGACCTCCCAACAACATCCTCCCTAGCTATTTCTAACACCATGCCCCTTTTGCTCATCTTTCAACACCCGTCAACTAAGCATCTGTTTACTGGTACCGTACTGGTCATGATGGTATAAAATAATAGATCTGGGACCTGATCTATTTACATTAAAAAAAAGACCTACGTAAACATGAACACGTGACACGTCAACCATAATAGGTTCCACCAAAAACAGTGCAAAGCCTTTGGAACACCTACAAGAATGGGTTTTGGTCAAGGAGATCAGGGAAGGTACTTCTCAATGTCAGGAGGTGACTCTTGGTGTAAAATATGAAGGATTGGTCAGAGGTAATTGGGCAAAAAGGAGAAGGAAGAGCATTCTAGGCAAAAGGAGTAACAGAAGAGTTCTAAAGCTGGAAGCGAAGATGGCAAGGGAGGAGGCCAGGTGACAAAGTGAGGAGGAGCCTGGTGTGAGTTGAAACCCAACACCCAGGGGAAGCCATACTGTGCACAGCCTGATGGGCCAGGGATGCAGCCTTCATCCTAAGTGCAGTCAGAGGGTTTAGACAGAGGCTATGATCATGATTAAAATCATTTGTCAAAATTATTTCACTTACCTTGTGGAGAAAAGGCTAGGGGAAGCAAAATAAAATATTTCCGGACAAGTTAGGAGCTACGCTAGAGGTGGAGGTGGAGAGATGATGGGCACTCAGTCTGTGGCAGTGGTGGTGGAGATGGAAAGGGTGGAGGGTGGAAAGAGGGAGATGAGTGTGACAGAGACTTGGTCAGTAACACTGACATGTCCAAGGTATGATTTCAATAGTGTGATGTAAAGAGATGTCACCGAGGCGACGCTGTTTCTCACTTGAAAACTGGATAAATTATTATGTTATACCCCAAATTCAGAGACAATAGAAGTGGACTGTGTTTTGTGGGGAGGAAGATCTGATGTTAATGAGTTTGCTGTGAGATGCTTTTGAGAAAGCCAAGAGGAGGTGCCAAGACACCAGCTGGAAATGCGAGCGGGAAGCGTAGAATTCAGTCGAAGATGTAAACGTGATTTATTGATATACAGGTGGTGAGGACTGAAACTGTGTGTAGAGAAAATGTTCTAAGGAGAGTGTATAGCCTGGTAAAGTCAATATTTAATCATTGAATAAAGAAGGGTGAATTTGCAAAAAGGACAGAGAGAAGTGGCATCCAGGAAGGTGAAAGGAAAACCAAGTCACATAAGCCAAAAGAAGCAAATGTCTTAAAAAGGAGGCCATGATTACCATATTCAATCCATTTAAGAGGAACCAATGATGAATACCTAAAAAATGTCTGGTATACTTAGCACAAGCTGATACTTGGATACATTATCAACAGCAATTGTGGTGGAATAATCAGACAGAAATCAGATTGAATGGACTGAGGAGCTAATGGGATGGAAAGAAAAGAAGTAAAATTAAATATGGAAACTCTTTTGACCAATTTAGCTATGGGGTGAAGATGAGACATGGGTGACTAGAGAGAGATATGGTATCAGAATAAGTATTATGTATTTTTTAATTTGAAAAGACTCAATCATATTCAAAAGCCAATGAGAAGGATGCAGTTGAGTCATGTTTAAATGAAACCTGAAACTCTAATCACGATTTCCCACAAAAAAAAGTATCTTTCAACAATTCCGTGAGCTATCTAATAATGCTTGAGGAAGGCTTCCTGCTGAGACTATCTCAAACGAATGTGCTGTCAGCTAAAAATGCTGACCCATACAAAGAGACATTGAGGGATATCTGAATGAACGCGCAATGGGCTTGGTGGTGTTTTGTGATCACAGAATTCTATTCTTAAATCAATGATTATGGATATGGAGCCATGGGCAGTAAAGTCTGAGGCATGATTACAGGGGTGATTGCATGAAATTTATTGCAAGAAAAGTTTATTAGCAGCAAGGAGGTCAATAATTGAAAGGTCAGGATATTGGGTGAGTCGCCAATGTAGATACTAAAGTCCTCAAGGCAATGGCAGGATTCAGATTTGAGAGTAAGACTTTGAACCACATGCCAAAGCTTTCAGTTATCAACAGGCCTGATTTGAAGGTCAGCAAATGACACAAGTGAAATGGAGGAACAGGAAATTTAGCCATGTGAAACAGACCTCTAGAGCAGAGAAAAGAAAGTTATTGAAGAACTGAGAAGTAAAAAAAACACCAACACTATTCCACATTCTGAAATAAACAGTTATCACCTCTGGGCTGCGGAGAGAGTGGCCAAAGGAAGACGCTAAAATTAAGGTAAGTCAAGGAAGTGAGGCAAAAGCTCAGAGCCATGGTCAAAAATCTTGGGAAGTCATTTTAATTCCAGATGTCATGGAGTGGAAAGGTTTGGGAGGCAGGAGAATTGCAGAGCTGGGTCTCACCAGGAGTAAGCATTAGAAGGATGGATGAATCATGGCTATGGGGAAGGGTGGACTTAAACTCTGAGCACTGATTCCAGGGATTAGAGAACATGGACTGCATGGTCCACTTAAGGAGAGTGGGCATGGGTCTACTGGTCTGACTGGACTAGTCGTCAAGGTGATGGCTCTATTAGTCTTTTTTTTTTTTTTGTATTGTTATCAAAGAGCACATGAGGCTGGGAACTTTATAAAGAAAAGAAGTTTATAAATCACACTGCCACGTGTGTACCTATGCAACTATCTTGCATGTTCTTCACATGTACCCCAAAACCTAAAATGCAATTTAAAAAAAAAAGAAGTTTATTTGGCTCAAAATTTTGCAGACTCTACAAACATGGCACCAGCATCTGCTTCTGGCAAGGCCTCAAGAAGCTTGTTCTCATGGAGGAAGGGAAAGGGAGACGGCATGTTACATGGAGAGAGGGAGCGAGAGAAAGGCGCGGAAGTGCCAAGCTCTTTAAAAAACCAGCTTGCATGAACTAATAGAGGGAGAACTCACTCATTACTGTAGGGAGGGCACCAAGCCATTCATGTGGGATGAATGACCCAACGACCCAAACACCTTCCACTAGGCCACACCTCCAACATTGGAGGTCACACGTGTGCATGAGAGTTGGAGGAAACAAATATTCAAACTGTATTATCAACTATCCCAGAGCTCCAGATTCTACAATGTGACCCACTTGCCCAGTCTTTTCTCCTCAGTCCCACGCTCCTACCTGCCACCTGCAGCTAGAGCCTCCTCATTTAGCACTAACTATGCACTCTGCTTTTAGAAAATAGCACTTTTTATGTCTTTCCAATTATTCATTTATGTTTTATACTTATTTTATTACTACTTTTTTGAAAACAGAGATGTGGTCTCTCACTATGTTGGCCAAGTTTATCTTGAATTTCTGGCCTCAAGCAATCCTCCCACCTCAGCCTCCCAAAGTGCTGGGATTACAGGCATGAGCCACCGTCCCTGGCCTCTGTCTGATTAATAAAGTTGTGTGTTCATCACAGAACCTGTGGAAAGTACAGAATAATATGAACAATAAAACGTAAATCAGTCATCTGTTTCTCACATATAGAAAACTACTGTAACATTTTGGTGAATCCACTTCCTGTCTTATTTCTGTGCATTTGTAAATACAGAGATAAGAATAATATGTATTACAAAAGACTGATCATACAGATGCTTCCTGATATGGGTAAGCAGGAATGTTTATGACCAATTCTCTCTTGCTAGGTATCTAAGAAATTTCCAAGTTTTTACTCCTGTGAATAATTTATTGTGTAAATCTGTGATCATTTCCTTAGTAAAGGTAAACACCATCTTACTTTTTCTGTCCACAATCAACCCAGTGTGTGATGATCTAATCCCTTCAATCCATTATAAGCTCCTAGAGGTCAAATTATAAAATCTATAGATAGCCAAGAAAAGATAAGGCAAACATTGTATAATTACTGTCATCGGCAAACAATTCCATGGTAATTTTACAATGTTACTTGTTCTTAACTGCAAATTGGAATATGATAATACAATTGAGAAAGTAAATATTATACTTACAACGCTAAAGAGAAAAACGGGTTCACATTTATCTCTAAGGGGCTGCAAAGTCACAATGTTGTCAGCTTCTGCCTGGAAAAAGTAAACATTTCATATAATGATAAATAAAACTATATTCAAGTCATTTGATACAATGTCATGTTGCAGCAATGCAGAAATACGTTTACTGCTACATTGTCTGGGTATGCCAGTGGTTTAGGGATCAAGCTGCACATACTGGCGACTGGAGTCCTACATCATTTGGCCTCAACCTCTCCCCACTGTTTCCCTTTACAATACCCAACCTTTGCCAAACTTATTTACTCATCTTTTCCTCCCCCAGAGCCTGGTCCTGCCCTTCCTTTATTGTCCCAGTTCAACTATCCTTCCTCCACCTCCGTCTCACTTCTTTTTGCTGTAAATCACCTCTGGTTCAGCACAACACGTTGCTGTCCATCTCCCAGGGCACCTATGTCCCTTTCAATATTCTACTCCAGGCACATGTGTGTAGCAATCCTGGACAGTCAGAACCTTTTTTTCTGGATTGGTTCCACCAATGCGTTGTCCCTGGTGTCAGAAGTACCTTGCCAGTAAGAGACTGTCCTTAAAATTCTTTGATACTGGACAATGCCCCTGGCCACTGAGAATCCTATGAGGTCAACACCAATGCTGTCAAAGGGATCTACTTGTCCCCAGAAAAAAACATCTATAATTCAGCTTCTAGGTCAGGGGGTTATAAGGACCTGGAAGGCTCATTACACATGGTACTCTATGGAAAGGATGTCAGTGCTATAGAAGAGAACCCTGATAGAAGGACATTAAAGTCTGGAAGAATTACACCATCGAAGATGGAAGATGCCATCCTTCTTATAGAAAAAGCTGCAAAATCTATCAAGCACAAATTAGTCAATTCCTGCTGGAGAAAACTCTGTCCAGATGTTGTGCATGACTTCATGGGATTTACGACAGAGCCAGTTAAAGAAGTCATAGAAGAGATTTTATACATGGCAAAAAAGTAGGGTGTGAAAGGTTTCAAGACATGGATGTTGAAGAAATCTAAGAGCTGACAGACACCACACCAGAGGAATTAACAGAAGACAAATCGACAGAGATGCGTGCATCGGAACCAGTGCCCGCCAGTGAGGGAGCAGATGGAGAAGAGCAGTGCCAGGAAACAAACTGACATTAGAACATCTGGCAGAAGGGTTCCAGTTATCCAAGACTGCTTTTGGCTTCATTTACGACATGCACCCTTCTGTGATATGGGCACTGAAACTAAAGCAAATGGTGGAAGAAGGATTGGCACCATACAGAAACATTTTTAGAGAAATGAAAGAGCAAAAAATTCAGACAGAAATTACCATGTATTTTCATAAAATTACATCCACTATGCTTGCTTTTTCTGCCTCCCCTTCCACTTCCTCCACCTTTTCTGCTTCTACAGCCCCTGAGATGTCAAGACTGACTCCTCTTCCTCTCCTCCTCAACCTACTCAATGTTAAGATGACGAGGATGAAGACTTTTATAGTCATCCCTTCCCACTTCATGCATAGTAAATAAATTTTGTTTTCCTTATGATTTTCTTAACACTATTTTATTTTCTCTAGCTTACTTTATTTCAAGAATACAGAATATAACATGCATAATATATAGAATATGTTAATCGACTATTTATGTATCCTTAAGGTTTCCAGTCAACAGTAGGTTATTAGTAATTGGAGTCAAAAGTCACAAATAATTTTTTTACTGCATAAGGTGGTTAGTGTCCTTACCTCCAGCATTGTTCAAGGGTCAACTGTATTCAGAAATAGTATTATAGTAACTATAATAAATACCATTTACTAAATGTTTATATGTATATATATCATGCCTATATATACACACACACGTGTGTGTGTGATTTAATGTTTATCTTTTTAAAAGGCACATAGCAGAAAAAGAGTTTTATACTGACCATCAGCTCAGGGTAATTTTAATAGGTAATCAAACTCATATCTTTTAATTTTGGACCTACACGTTCAAGTTCTGAGTGTCTGTCTTGATTAACAGCAGAAAACAATGTGTCCAGCAGAGGGCACTCCTCCAGTACTGTTCACAGTGCAGGTTTGGAGATAATAATTTTCCTTCCCCTTTATGGGCAGGTAACCAGAATCCAGAACCCCGAGTCTATGTGAACATCTCCACCTTCCACTTTTGAACAGATTTTCCTAATGCCAACTGCCAGGATTCACAAGAATTTCCTGATCTTCAATTCCCTGTGATCTATCTGTCAGCCATTAGACGCCTGTGATACTATCTTTTTACTTTCAACCGCATGTGCCAATCTTCTTTAGGCCCTATTCTCTGCTCTTCAAACTTGATTTTTCTTCCCGGCAAATACTCAAGTCTGGAATAACCTCCTAGTTCCTTTCTGGTGGTTCTGACTCTTCAGAGTGAAACAGGTTGTTACAGAATCTTGTCTTTTAAGAAAAAACTACAATGTCGGGATAATGAGAGAAAACAAGACACAGCCTGGGATAAAGCGTCTGCGAAAGCAATCCCTCGTAAAGCACTGCTATCCAAAATACGCAGAATGCTTAAAACTCAACAATAAGAAAAACAAACAACCCAGTTTAAAAAAATGCCAAAAAACTCAGCAGAAGGTTCTCCTCAAAGAAGATACAGATGGCAAATAAGGATAACAAAGGTGGCCACGTCACATCATCTCAGGAAACACAAATTAAAACTGCAATGTGATGCCACTGCACGCCTACAAGGATGACCCAAATCCAGGCGACTGATGCTGGTGAGGATGTGGAGCAGCGGAAACTCTCATTCCCTGTTGGTGAGAATGCAAGACGGTACAGCCACTGAACAAGATGACTTGGTTTCTTACAAAATAAGACATATCCTTACCACATGATCCAGCAATCATGCTCCTTTGTATTCACCCACATGAGTTGAAAATGTATGTTCATACAAAAACCTACGCATGGATGTTTATAGCAGCCTTGTTCCTAACTGCTAAATGTTGGAAGCAACCAAGATGTTCTCATGCACTGAGGGAATGCATACGTAAACCACGGTACATCCGGATAATGGAGTATTATTTGACATGAAAACAGAATGAGCTATCAAATCGTTACAAGACATAAAGCATGTCCCTAAGTAAAAGAAGCCAATCTGAAAAGCCTTTGCAATATGTGATTCTAACTTTATGACGTTCTGGAAAAGGCAAAACTATGGAGATAGTCAAAAGATCAGTGGTTGCCAGGGGTGATGGGGCAGGGAGAGATGAACGGATTACAGAGGATGTTGCAAGGCGTGAGTCAATACTATATGATGCCATAATGTAATGCTTACATCTCGTTATACATTTGTTAAGGTCTCCAAAATGTACAAGACCGATAATGAACCTTAATGTAAACTGTGCATTTTGGTAAATAATGATATGCCAGTGTATGCTCATCTGTTGTAACAACGTACCACTCCGATTTGGGATTTTGGTAGTGGAAACGGCTATGAAAGTGTGGGGACAGGGGATATATAAGAACTCGTACTTTCTGCTAAATTTGGCTTCAAACCTAAAAGTGCTCTAAAAATAACATCTATGTAAAGACTTTTAAAAAAAGTTAAAGGAATGAAAACCCTATAAAGTCCTTATTTCAGAAGATATAAGTAAATTCCTTCACTCAGGACAACGGGGTTTAACTGCTGTAGACAGCTGCTTACCCTCTTGAATAGAAAAATCATAAGAGGTGAGTGTGTAGGCTTTAGACTACTTATTCATTATCTTGAACTAAGGAAAATAAGTCCGACAGAAAATGTGTCTAAAGAAGGGGATGGATAGTGAAATACAAGGTCAGTAGGCAAACTCATTCCAATGTTTGGGTTGAAAGGAGCCGTGAAAGCCCAGTGACTGGGAGAGCATGAGTGGCTCGTGGCTGCAGGTCTGCTTTAGGGACTATGTGTGTCAGGGATAAGGGGTAAAGATATGTTCATCTGTTATCTGCTCCTGTATCTTAAGTCTAGTGGGTTTGGGTGTTTTTCTGTATAGTATAAATACATTGTGAAAGCCATACATATAAATTCTCCAGTAATCACATTTAGAAACAAAAGAAGGTGAAAATAATGTGTTAATAAATTTTACTTATCCCGATATAGCCAAAATATTCTCATTTCAACATGTAATCAATGTATAAAATCATTAATGGCATATTTCACTTTCTTTTTCCATATTAAATCTTTAAAATTTAACATGTGGTGTCTCTTCCACTTAAGAGTACATCTTAATTGTATGCAAAATGTTAACAGAAATTAATCTTTAATTAACTTTAATAAAATTTACAGTTAAATCACAGATTCACATACTCAACTTGTTACAGATTTTAAAAGTTTTACAATAACCCAATTGAGTATCAGTTTTAAAATTCAGTTTTAAATTCATTAAAATCAAAAATTCAGTTCCTGAGTTGGACTAGCTACATTTCAAGAACTCCTTAGTCACTTATGCCTAGTAGCTACCATGTTGGACAACAAAATTCTAATTAGTTGATCATTTCATGTGACTAGATTGAATAAACAGTACAATTAAGTAAAATGTGTTTAGCTATAAGGTTTTAATCCTTTGTCACAACTAGGTAGCAAATAAATGAGGGAAAAAATCATTGCCACTGGAAAATATGGTAACTTGGTTAATGCCAGGGCACTGCCCAGCACCCAGTAAACAGCTTTTGCAACCCTATTCTAAGGGACACACACTGAACACGTGGTTAGGTGAAAGGAAAAAGAGCAATAGATGCGTCCATTATTACACTTCTCTAACTTTCACGGTCACGGTAAACAGCCTTGACATTATAAAGAACAGGATAAAAATCATGTTCATTCTCGGATCTAGTAGAATTAAATATATAGTAAAACCACCAGGTAAAGACTATCTATTTTGAAGAACTGACAGGTTGTTTAAATTCAGACAATACTTAAAGTATTAGAGGATACTTAAACACTCAATATGACGTGAAAACAACAGTTTAATGAAAACAAAATCCTTACGATAGCAAAATGCAGAATTTCATCTTCGTTCAGTTCATTTTTCAATTTTCTGAATAAGGGTTGCATTGCTTTGCAAGGTCCACACCAGGCTTGGTAAACATCAATCACTAGAACATGATGATATTTATGAAATAACTGAGTCTACCAATCTAGGATAGCAACTTATCCCAATCTGGATCCAGGGCCAGGGCAAAGGCACTGCAGGATTTCTTGGTCAAAGTGGGGAGTGGCACTCTAGAGGGACAGGGTGCTGGGAGGTACCCTAGGCCAAACCCCAGGTGGCCAGACGACCCGGAACCTCATACCTGTTAAGCCTTTGTTCTGCAGCATCTCATCCCACAGGCTTTGACTGTCGACGACAGCCTGCGAAGAGGAAGGCGCTGTAAAAGGTATCAGGCACCGGTGCAGCCGGTGAAGAATCGTTGATATGTCAGACCCACCTGTAACTGGGCTTCTCGTTTTTTGCTTGCCATTTATCTACTATCATAGGAAAAAGAAAGAAAACTTTTTAAGTAGGAAATTTAAATAATATCTTCTTTATGCATGCAAATAACATCTTTTAAAACAATTTTAAGTTTTTGTGGGTACATAGTAGGTGTATATACTTATGTATCTCTGTATTTATATGCTCAAACGTTTGTGTATTTAAATCTCGGAGATATTTTGAATGGGCATGCAATGCACGGTAACCACATCAGGGTAAATGAGGTGTCCATCACCTCAAGCATTTATGCTTTGTGTTACAAACAATCCAATTATAGTCTTTTAGTTATATTATAATTTAGGAGTTTTTTTGACTGGAGTCACCCTGTTGTGCTAGCAACTATTAGGTCTTATTCATTCTTTCTAACTGCAAATAACATCTTAATGTACCAGTGAAAATTTTCCCCACTAAATATTGGATTATGCAGCCTCACCTTTGTTGGGGAGGGAGGAGCTAACGTCTTGGAAGGACTAACGTATGCTATGCCCTATGTTAAATTCTTATAGCTACCAGGCTGTCTTACTCTCCCAACAGTCCTGAAGCAAGGCAAGAATGTTAGGAGTTACACATCGTCTGGTTTTTTCCTTTTTTTTTTTTTTTAAGTTTTGTTTTCCTGAAATATTAGAAAGTATTTCCTATGTTATCAATTGCAAACATACTGTCTATCAACATGCCCACGGATCTTTCTGAGGTCCCTCTTCAGATCTGACTGCTCTAAGTGTATTTAATTTTGAGAATAAGGTCACTAGTGTTTTCTGGGGCACAATATGAACTTCCCAGACTCCCTATTCAGTGGAATCGGGGGCGGTGTAGGGCAGGGGTCCGTCGGCGTGTGGGCGATAGTGGATACGAGCGTTCAACGAAGGGAAGGCCACTAGCAAGACTGTATCCCAGAAAACGTGCTGCTTGCTCCGGCAAGCCTTGCACAAAACAGGTCCTCCTCTAAGCTAGGCTGGGACGTTCAAAGAACAGTGAGGAACAGGCCCGGAGGATGTAAATCCGCTCTTCGCTGTGGCCGTTTGCGCGGCGACCTCGGTGAGGTCCCATTCCAGTACCTGGGGCCTCGGTAGGTCCCCTGGCTGAGGCTGGCCAGCCCCTGCTGGGCTTTCTTCTCCAGCTGATTCAGCGAAAGGAAGAAGAGGGATTACCTGCCTGTCTGGGGAGAAGAAGGGAGCAACGGTTTGTGCGACTCATCCACCCACAAGGCTCGAGCGGCGTCTCGAGGCCCCTGCCCCGGCCAGCAGCTACACCGGGCAGCGGGGACCAGACAAGGCGGCGCCTAAAATCCTCCACCTCTTCTGCCCCACAATGAAGGAACAAGGAAGTCCCGGTTCCACCGTCACAAGGCTCTCCCTCTTTTCCAGCTGCCTCATCCGCAAACTCCCATCTTCCATCCTCCCATCCCCCCATCAGCCTGTCCCCCAGGTGCGCACCAGGGTGGGATTTCCCAAGTGCAGATTTGATCGTATCTCTCCTTGGCTTTGAATCCTCCCGTGATTGGCCGCGCTTTACAGCACACAATGCATACTCCTCACACCGGAGCAGAAGGCTCTCTGCCAGCCCAGCCTTCTCTCTCTCTTCAACTTTGTCTTCATCTACCTGGTTCATTTCCCCTCCCCCTCCTCCTCCTTCCTCTTTTTCTTCTTCCTCCTCCTTCTCCTCCTTTCTCTTCCTCTCCCTCTCCTCCTCTTCCTCCTTCCTCTTCCTGCTCCTCCTCCTCCTTTTTCTCCTCCTCCTCCCCCCTTCACTCCTCCTCCTCTCCACTCCTCCTCCTTCCCCCTCCTCTCTCCTCCTCCTCCTCCTTCTTTCTTTCTCTTTCTTTGTCCATCCCTTTCTTTCTCTTTACTTTCCTTTCTCCCTCCCATGTACAGCATCTGAAAATAATTTTTAACAATAGTTTCTGATTAATCCACAGGCTGAGATGCAGAAAGCAATTGTAGAGTCAAGGGACACAATGAATCTTTGTAGGGATCCTCATCTCTGGGGTAGACCAAATTAACGGGCAGGATTACCTACAGAAGAATTTTTGACCAGGACCATATCCTGTCAAGACAGGACAGGAAGTACGCCTCCACTTCACCATCTGCGATTTTCTCCTTTTTCTCATACTTTAAGTGCTGGGATACACGTCCAGAACATGCAGGATTGTTACATAGGTATACACGTGCCATGGTGGTTTGCTGCACCCATTAACCCATCATCTACATTGGGTATTTCTCTTAATGCTATCCCTTCCTTAACCCCCAACCCCCAACAGGCCCCAATGTGTGATGTCCCACTCCCTGTGTCCATGTGTTCTCATTGTTCGATACCCACTTATGAGTGAGAACATGCGGTGTTTCAGTTTCTGTTCCTCTGTTAGTTTGCTGGGAACGATGGTTTCCAGCGTCATTCATGTCCCTGCAAAGAACATGAACTCATCGTTTTTTATGGCTGCATAGTATTCCATGGTGTGTATGTGCCACATTTTCTTTATCCAGTCTATCATTCCTGGGCATTTGGGTTGGTTCCAAGGCTTTGCTGTTGTACATAGTGCTGCAATAAACACACATGTGCATGTGTCTTTATAGTAGAATGATCTATATTCCTTTGGGCATATACCCAGTAACGGGATTGCTGGGTCAAATGGTAACAAAAACCAAAATTGACAAATGGGATCTAATTTAACTAAAGAGCTTCTGCACAGCAAAAGAAACTATCATCAGAGTGAACAGGCAACCTACAGAATGGGAGAACATTTTTGCAATCTATTCATCTGACAAAGGGCTAATGTCTAGAATCTACAAGGAATTTAAACAAATTTACAAGAAAAAAATAAGCAACCCCATCAGAAAGTGGGCAAAGAGTATGAACAGACGCTTCTCAAAGAAGACATTTACGAGGACCACAAACATGAAAAGAAAGCTCATCCTAATGTAGATGACAGGGTGATGGATACAGCAAACCATTATGGCACGTGTATGCCTATGTAACAAACCTGCAAGTTCTGCACATGTACCCCAGAACTTAAAGTATACTAATAAAAAACTCATCATCCACTGGTCATTAAAGAAATGAAAATTGAAACCACATTGAGATACCATCTCACGCCAGTTAGAATGGCGATCATTAAAAAATCAGGAGACAACAGATGATGGAGAGGCTGTGGAGAAATGGGAACACTTTTACACAGTCAGTGGGAGTGTAAATTAATTGTGCCTCCATTGTGGAAGACAGTGTGGTGATTCCTCAAGGATCAGAACCATCTGTTATTTTCAAAGAAGTGTTATGTGTTTCCTATAATTGCTATATCACCAGAGTCAGATTGTTAGTAAATTGACTTTTGATTCTTCTTTGTGAACAATAGTTCACATGAAGACATATTCATGCACACATTTCAGGCAAATTCTTTATATAACACTTTGATACAAGAAGTTTCAATGTATTCTAAAATTAGAACAAACATTTCCCAGTGGCCCGTACATGAAAGGAAGGTTTAATTATGTTTGTTTGTTTGTTTTTACATCATTACTACTTATTGCAAGAGCTTTGAATGTTGAGGCTTTGAAGCATAAACCTGAAGAGCCTTTGACTTGGGTCTGCCCAGAATTGACTTTGAGGGCAAATGCTCTGAACATGTCGGTTATAAGAGAATGTATTTATATTTTATTATAGAAGAGTTTAAGCTATAAATGCCAAAAAGCCTATAAGAGATGTTATTCTTGAAGAGACTTTGTTTGTTTTGCTCCTTGCGTATATTTGAGTTTATCTTTCAATATTCATTAAATGTACTCTCCGACATCACCCTGCCTTTTCTTACCCTCACACAGCACTATGTATAGTGCTCAGTTTGCTTTCCTTGAGGTGCAAGTTTATTAGTGCCTAATTATTTCATTTGTGTTTTATATATATTTAAAACTCATGACTTTTGAATATATATAAAGACCCAGAAGAGAAGAATTGGATTGCAGAATTGTTTTCACTTTTCTCTCTTCCTCTTAAAATCCTCTCTGGCATCTAGCATCACCATTTGTACATAAACACTTTAAAATTAGGTAGCAAGCTAGTGCATTTGGAAATAGGAGATATTCTTGACACATTTGTGAACTCTTTAATGAGCATAAACAATTCCTGAATTTTTGAATCCAGGAAGTCTGTCTGGTGGTTTCTCAAAGAACTAAAAACAGAGCTACAATTTGAGCCAGCAATCTTATTGGGTATACACCCAAAGGAAAATAAATTATTCTGCCAAAAAGACAATGCTGTCATATGTTCATCACTGAGCTATTTACAATAGCAAAGACGTGGACTCAATCCAGGTGCTTATCAATGATAGACTGAATAAAGAAAACGTGTATGTAAACATAAACACAGTGGAATACTGCACAGCCATTAAAAAGAATGAAATCATGTCCTTTGCAGCAACAAGGATGCAATTAGAGGCTATAATCCTAAATGAATTAATGTGGGAACAGAAAACCACATACTGCATGTTCTCACTTGTAAGTGGAAGCTAAACACTGAGCACACATGGATATCAATATTGGACAAATAGACACTGCAGATTACTATTAGTGAGAGACAAGGAGGGAGACATGGGTTGAAAAACTACTTATCAGGTTCTATGCTCATTATCTGAGTGATGGGATTTATACCCCAAACCTCAACATTGTGCAATAAATCTACAAATGTACCCCTCATTTCTAACATGAAAGTTGAATTTTTAAAAAAGTTTAATAAAATGAAGACAGAATGCTTAGAAAAAGAAATATGGTCCAGGTAATTAAATAGACTATAAAGAAAATAAATGGTATGAGGGACTTACTTTATCACTTCTGCTAGAGATAGAAGTAAGTTAGTCATCTATCCAAGAGAATTTAATATAACTTTTTAAAAAATTTATCCTATCTCCACTAGACCAAAATGGCAGATTCTGAATTCCAATTTTAAAAGTCGCCTGCATACTACTACTTAAGTAGATATTCTCTTTTCCCATTGTATATGAAATTAAGACACAGAGAATAATGAAAACTCATAATAATAAAACACAATGAGTTAACCTGTTACTACTGCAACCTATTGGGAACGGCAAGATTGATGGATATGGATTGAGATAAAATTTTGTGCAGTTTCTATATCTGAGCAAATCTGCTGGCCTGAAACTAATCAGGAAGAGGCTTTGGACCTCCCTGTCTGCCTTCTGTGTGAGAGACTCAGAGAGTTGCAATCAACCAAAGCAGTAGCCATCCCTCTGCCGTTCAGGCACTGATTCGTAATGCAATTTATGTACTATTTTCTACCTTTTACTATCTTTTTTTTTTTTGCTGTATTTATGGAAGATCACAATTCTTTCTAAATAAGAAAGGCAAGTGTGAGAAAATGGAAGAATTAACTCGTGGCATCCCAAGAGTCATAATCAGTGATACGCTGGTAAATGTTAATAACCAGCTCTCTTGAAAAAAATGTATATGAGAAAGTATCATAAATTTAATTATTAAAATAATGTTTTATATTTTTAATATATACTATGAAATATACAGTATTCTTTGTTGCAAATTCCATATAGTCAACTGATTTTTACAGAAACGTTTTCTTTAATTTTTGCCAAACTCTTATTTCCATAGCCAATTTATGGTTGCAATTTATTCAGAAGATGAATAAATGCTTGTTTGCTAACTGGTTCAGCAAAGAAATTACTCATGTCATCAATGAATGTGTGTAGTTCCAGTAAGAATGTTGGTCAACATTTTAATATACATTAATGAGTTTGACGAAGCGAAACAATAAAGATGTAAGTTAGAATTTCACCCATTCATCAGTGACATAAATGACTTCTTGCTGAACATGGTAATAGTTTGCAAATACTGGAAGATTATTTCTCAAATATTGGATGCTATTTAGAATGTAACAACTACAGAAGCAACATACTTTTTTCCCTTTTTTTTCAGAAGCAACATACTTTTAATCTGCAATAACAATCAACAAATCAATAAAGTGTTAATTTGTAGCATTTGCAGATTTCCATGTTGTAAATATTCCCACCGTGTTCAGTTTCAAGTCCCAGCACAATGTCATGGGACTCTAAAGATATGCACTAGTACTTCATTATATGGTTGGTATTTTTACCTAGAGATACAATATATGTAAGTAATTTTAAGAGCATAGAAAATAGTAAAATGTGATAAAGATAAGTTTGAGAAATTTATTACTTACAT